GCAGGACCATGAAATGTAAATGTAAATAGTGAAATAATTATATATGTATTTTACATTAAATGAATCGGTATTTGAATTAATTAATGACACATTTAAGTAATTATTTAATGGTGTATGTATTTATTTAATTGTGGCACTTTCAGTCCTCCATACAGGTGGAGCTGGGGTTCATGAAAAGCTATGTAGTGGTGGCAGCGGGAGGAGTACATTGCTTTAAAGTGAGGTGCAAAAGAGGAAGCAGAGCATTGACAATTTACATTAAAAGGATTAAAAGTGTGTGTCTGAGAAGAGTTGGCCATGTGATTGTAATGGCAGACTTGAGTTTGCTACCTGAACTATCTTGCAGGATTCATGTAATTCGTCAATGTCGTCCTGTTCTGTATTGTCACATGACACCCCCACCTTTGACTGCGAACAACAAACAGGAAAACCCCAGCTAGAAAACTTGAATCACATTCACAACCAATCAAATCTGATCAAACCACAACCACACCATCTTGGTGAAGCAGATTAACTGACTTTCTTGAATGTTAAACTCCTGTAAATAATACCGAATCACATTTTGATTGTTGCAATTTTTTTAGTAGTGCAGGCAGCATCAGTAAAACAATATTTCATTTAAAAACAATTCACAAACTAATGAACAATGATAGTCCAACATTGGTTGCCATAGTGTGAATGATATAGCCGAATTTCTGATGGTTTACAAAGTTATATCATGCTACGGTATTTCCTAAAATCCCTCATCCATACTCATCATTATCTTTGAATGTTCTTCATATTACGTCTGTGCTCATATTTGCACTTTATCTGCCCTTAACTGCATGCCTCAGAAACTGACTGTGCTGTATCTGTTTTCTGCGCTCTTCAAAGTAATTGGTGATCTGACAGAAGGTCAACATAAGATTAATGTCAGAACCAGGGAACAACAATATGAAACAAATCTGCAATACATTTCCCAATTATTGACAACCTGTAACAGAAGATAAATGAAAATGCACGCCGGAGTTGTCTGTACAAGCTCAGTCCAGCCCCTTTGAACCCTAATCCCCCAAACGTTCACTCACACAGCAGAGGGCTTCGCTAAGTGGAGCACTGACAGCAACCACACAATGCTAGGATTCACTTCAAAAACAATGAGAATAGGGGAAATGGGGAGATGCACATGTGCGGAGAAGCAGACTCTTTCATAAAAGTAAAAAAACGACCAAGTTGAAAGACATGAAAGCTGAATATGTCCCAGCATATGGTTGCCAGATTTGTAGCATATTTCCAATGATACAAATCCGAGCTTTCCTGGTTTGAAGAAGCATGGCTGGGAGGGGGATAACGATGTGATGGAGTCTGTTTCATTTCAGACTGCTAGTCTGCTAGTGGCTTGTGCGTGTGTGTGCCAGTGTTGATGGACAGCTCAATTCACAGTGATACATGGTTTGAATCTGATGCTCATCTGTTTCTGCAGAGGAGAGGAAAGATCCTGTCTGTCAGCCTGTGTGCTTCAATGAAATGCTCAGAAATGTTAATGTCAGCCGCATAATGATTCATGAGGTGGAGTGAAAGCAAAATGACAAAATGAAATAAAGGCTTTAGCAAAAGATCAAGGCTTCCATCAGAACTTATGTCTACTTTTTTATTCTGCCAAAGCAAACAAATAATGAAACTACGAGAGCAGCTCTCAAATTGCATATATAGAGAAATGAAATATCTGGTTTTTGAGGGAAAGTTAATGGTAGGCTACAGAGGGAGAGAGCATGAGGCATGTAATATTTTTCCTTGAGTGAAAAGCAGTGAAAATAGAAGATGTGTATTAGACGTCTGTTTCAGAAAAGAGATTTGCTAGCACACAGATCATGTATGGTGGCTTACATGGCTCTTACCTATGGTGTTTGTTCATTAGTGAAACATGTAAAAATGTGTGACAGAAACTGATCTCATATTGCAAACATTTTCAAACAGGTCTGAGATTTCTAGTCTGATTATCAGACTCAGTTGCCATTTTGTTTCACTGCATTTTTCCAACTTTGCGTTCATGTTTTCCCTGTTTGGGAGAGGTTATTTGTATTTGCAGTTGAGGTATCTATCCTGCAGTCATAGTCACAGTCAGGTTGCTGTAAATTAAATAAATACAGTAACTTATTGGCAATTACTGTATCTTACGATACATATTACAGTAAAATACTGTTAAAATTGCAAAATACTTACAATGCATGGCTGTAATTTATATGTATAATAACAATGTATTAAATGGCAATGTGAATATGTGTGTATGTGAATTGCTCTGAGATTGGAGATATAAACAGATTTAGAGGGCAGATTTCTACTTTTGTGTCAAATGTTACCAAAAATTTAGTCTTATTTTTTCCCAGCTGGACCATAGAGGATACTATTAGTTACATCATGCACCCCCAAAATTTGATTGACATGTTATCACTGTAAGACATTTTGTCCAGGCTCCCACCTCCTCTAAGTGTTAACCTCCTCACCCATTAGCACCCTGCAGAGGGCACACATGCAAAGCATACATGATGCACTATGATAGATATGTATAGCCACACACACAGCCCTAAACACCCACACAGGCCCACACACACGTCAGGTTTCTCTATATTCAGAATCCAAGTAATTATATGAGATAAAATTTAGTTTTTAAAGGAATCCAGGAACTTTATTTCCCAGCATTTATTGCTCTATAACTTGTATGAGAAAGGTACGTTTCACTGCTCAGCTCCGAAAGAACAACAACTATTAAAGGGCCAAGTGGGATAAAACCTAATAGCACCCAATAACCAGAGCATCAACGAAAATAACTTTTAACAGTTCCAGGTAACACACCTCGCTATGAGCTTTGAGGTCAGCTGAGCCAGCGGGAAGAAATATGAAGGATCAGGTAAAGACAAAATATTAAATACAAACAGGACGTGTACAAACACAAACAGGTCACATACAGTAAATACAGATTGTTTTCTGTCATTTAGTAGGGTGATTTTAATATCATGCTGTGTAACAAGCCACATCTTTATCCTGTTAAACTTTATTAATTTGGCCTCAGCTTTCATCCAGAGTTTATAGGCCTTCAAAATGCCTGAATCTCAGAGGTGGGGCTTGTTGAACAGGGCTCACCCACTGCTCGCTATGCAAACCTACACACCCCACACACACACACACACACACACACACACACACACACACACACACACACACACACACACACACGCACACACACACACACACACACACACACGTACAATTGACAAAAACAATCTCACCACAATGTCCACTGGAGCTTTCAGTCATATCTCACCACCTTCCTCAGCAGATGAGGTTCACCATGACCAATTGTCATGGAATTTGCAGATGTCAAAATTTCCTTAAAGGAAATCTTTTGTCTTTTGTTCCACGGTGTCTGAAAAGCTGAGATGGAAAATTAATTGTTGACTTTGAAAACAACATTTGACAAAACTTTGAGATCAAAAGCTCAAGAACACTAAGTCAACCTTGTGGTGGCCAAAATTTACTTTTTATCTCAATTGTATTTATAATAACACAAACTGTAATATTATTTTCCTTTATTCCAGCTAAACCACATTGTTTGTTTTTGAATGTTTTGAGTTTATCTTGTGGTGAGGTTGTTTTGTAAATAAAATGCAAAGTTTAGTCATATTTATATATTTTTTTGAGAACATGTGGAGCATTGTATGGTCTTACACAATTAATCTGGGCTGATTCTGTGTGTGTGTGTGTGTGTGTGTGTGTGTGTGTGTGTGTGGTTGTACGCAGTGTATATGACACTAAACGATCAAATGTGTGTGTGGTCAGGAAGTGCCGCTAGCAGCAAAATGACTGTCTTGATTTACTGTAAACAGATGATGTGTGTGTCCTTCAAATTACTGCTCTTTGTTATTCATGGCTGCACATTTCTTTATATAGCACCTTCAATTAAACATAGAACTGATCTTAAAATCGACTTTTTACACAAGTCCAACTCTCAACTCCGGTTTTATGTAGGTATTGTTTAGATCTAACAGTAGTAGTTTACAGTGAGCTTTCAAACAAGGCAATATTTCTTGTATAGAACATCTATTCTTGATTTAATCCTGAAAGTTCATTATAGACCTTGGAAACTGTATTTTTAAAGAAAAGAAAAGAGCTAAGTTAAGGTGCACTTACTAGCTTTTATTGGAGCTGTCAGTGTTTCAGTTTTCATCACTCAGCCGAAAGACTTCAAGATTCAAGGGTTTTATTTGTCATATGCTCGTACAACAGTGATATGAATGGTAGTATTCTCTTGAGGCTGTGCTAAAAAGGCTACACTGAAGCATAAATTAGAATAAGAGTGAAAATAAGAATTAGAAAAAGAAATACAGAAGAAAGTTCAAATTCAAATATTAAAAATTATAAATATGCAATAGCCTACAGGAAAAACATTTAATTGTGATGTTTTGCAGGTTTGTAATATTTAAACAGTTTATGTGCAAAACAGATAGAAGCCATTCTTAAAATGAATAAACTTGACTTTAACACTAAAGTCAGTTTTAAAATCAGTCTTTTGTTCCTCAGTAAGTTCAACCTCTCTCCTTTCAACACCTTCCTAAAACACACACACACACACACACACACACACACACACACACACACACACACACACACACACACACACACACACACACACACACACACACACACAACAACTGGACATATTTTGCCAGGTGGTCTTCACTGGTTTATTCTGTATAATAGCAGCCTGTAAAAGTTCCTCCGGGAACGGAAGAAGAGACGGAAAGAGAGCGAGTGAGTGTGTGTGTCTGTTTGTGTTATGTATATAACCAAATGACAGACAACCAGAGAAAACATACACACACGGAAAAAGTAGAGAGTGATTGAGCAAGAAGTCGAGGCTGAGTGTTATTTCAGTCACAATGGATCCAGTTGTCATTTAGCCCTGTGACCAAAAGTCTTTTCATTCCCTCCTCTCTGTTTCATAAACCACCTCCGTATGCCGAGCAGCACATCTGGTGGACAGATGTCTATCTCTCCTCCATCTCTTGTTTTCTCTCCCTCTGTACTTTTTCCTTTAGGCAGGCCTGGTGTTAATCCCTCTCTCCTCCACCTGGACCAGACCACCCACACATTGAGCAGGGCAGCGGCAGCCCACCAGCAGAGAGCAAGTGTGTGTGAGAGTGTGTGCTACAGAACGTCATGCGAACAAAAAGGAGAACTGTACTTACGTTTACACAGAAGCAATAATATATAAAATGAAGAAACAGATTATTAGATAATAATTTGTGCTCAACGTAATATATAATGATATCATGTTTATATGTTTCTGACTGCACATTAAACATGATTATCAAACCAAAGCCTGTTTCTAAGTGTAACAAATATCACTGCATTCATTGCTGTAAATTGTTTTTATATTTTGCATAATCAGCAATTGAACAATCCCAATTTACAAACAGCGAACACTGATATATGAAATACAACAATGTCTTTTTCTGTCCTTTCAGAGAGTAAAAGCACTTACTGAGGTTAATTTTACGCTGGTGAGTTTCTTTCCACCTGGAACAAATAATGGAGAATATTCTGAGAAAAAAAGATACTACAGCACCAAGTGGACACTTATAACACAGAGGTCCAAAGTGCTTTACAAACAACAAATATACATATGGGTATAACCATACCCAATCAAATATACATAGGAAGCATGTACATACAAATATAAGAAAGATAAAACAAGAGGGAAGGATAAATTAAAAGGACCAGAGTGTAAATTAAAAGGACCAGAGTGTAGGGTTTAGTGATATCTAGTGGTGTAGGTTCAGATTACATTCCCTTTGCTTCCAGTTTGAAGTGTATAAGAGAAACTACGGCTGACCCAAAACTCGTGAAAAACGGTGCAAGGCCCTATCCAGAGTCAGTGGATGGTTTGGTTCAACATGACCCCATAGAACAGGTCCCGCTGCCTCTGTAGATTAAAAAAAAAGTCTCATTCCTTGGTAATAAAAACACAACTATTGATATGTTCAGGTGATTATGCTCTGAAAAATGAAAAAATACCCATGAATATTATATTTAATTTCCAAAAGAACCTCTTAAATGGTACACTCTGGATATTAAGTGTACATATAATAGTTTTTCTAAATTAAGGACTTTGAATTTAAAGGAGCACCACCAATTTTCAACCTTTTGTTTGGGTATAAGGTGTGGATTTAAATGTTTATACACTACAACACTGTTATATTTGTCACTGCTGTATGCATAGCGGGAGAACTATTGCCTAATACATCCAGTGATACAGTTCCAGTCTTTGTTTGACTTTAGTTTTTATGTAATCTAATTTTAATATTAAATACATATGACACAATGACAAGTATAATGGTCAATATAAACCTGCCACACTATGACAAAAAGACATAGAGGAAAGATTGATAAAATGTTCCTTTGAATCATCAAACAAAGCGACTTTGAAGTTGCACAAGTTCAATACCAAGCCTTTGTTGCCATCTAGTGGGAAGATGACCAAAACACTAAAACAATACAGTTCTGAACTACAGACACACAGTCCAATGCGTGAGACAACAATTGCACCTTGATTCACTCAGTTTCCAGTAAATTAGGTACACTGAGATAATACTAATGCAGTCTAATACAACAGTCCTGTTATAAATCCTCCATGAAGTTTTCAGAGATAGATTAGATTCAGCTTTATGATCGTTTTGGAGGATCCGGTATGTGATGCTCTGGAAATGTATTGCATTACGTAGAGAAGTGTTTCTGTTATTTATCCTAGACCTCACCAATAAAAATGGGTTGGACCAAATAACAGAAACACCCATGCTTTAAAGAGGGTACGGCAGAGTTGCTTTTTGGAGGTTCAAATCTGGATTCTCCGGACTGGAGGAAAATGAGGGAGTAGAACTTAGTTCACACAAAGTGGTTTCACTTGTTTTTGCTGCCATACATGCATGTTTTTTTTTTTTTACATATTCATAAATACATAAAACATTTCTGTTATGTTACCAAAAAGAAAAAGCCAAATATAGAAAATTGTATTTCTGATATGGTGTTTTCTTCAGTTTTGTACGTAGGGTATCTGAAGTACAGTATGTAAGAAAAAAGAAGAAGTGGTTGCTACATTACAAATTGGTTCCAACTTCCACCCATGTAGAGAAAAATAGCAGCACAATTAGTACAACAAAAGCATTTTAGATAAGAAAGCAAACTGCGAGTAGCTTTTATCCAAAACAAACAATCAAGTCCAGAGTGAGGGAACTCCAAACAGGAACTCATATATTTTGAATGAGCAGTGAAAAGTGAGGCAGAAAGTGGAAAAGTGATGCTGTGTTTCCTATTATTGCAGGATGGGGGGCTGACAACAGGGCCGAATCCCTCCACCACGCTGTGAACACACCAGTGGAATTTGGACGACGGCAGTGCTGATGATGAGAAATATGAGAGAGGAAGACACAATACTCTGTTGTTCCACGCAGTGTCATCGTGACCTTAGGGTACTGCCGCCAGACACACACACACACACACACACACACACACACACACACACACACACACACACACACACACACACACACACACACACACAGACAGACACAAGCGCGCACAGACACAGACATACACACACACGCACACACATTGTATGTATGCTTTGAGAAAATCAGCCATCCACATATTCATAATTAGAAACTTTGGCACAGTCACACAGGCTATTGTCAGTACTCATCTCATTTGGAAATATTTGTAGTTGTGTTGCCAAAAGTGGAAGTGGATGCAAGTGGTGCTGGTGTAAAAGACGCAGTGCACTCGTAAAGTTCTGCACGTAATCCGACACAGGTGATGACGCTTCAAAGTCAAAGGTCAGACCAAGGCTTCAGGGTTAAATGAGTCAGACCAGTCCTCCCAGTGAGAGTTGCTGGGCTCACTGTGCCATCTCTTCCCCTGCTCATCTTTTTTACCTGACACTAACGGCACTCAAATGACGAATCAAGTACTACTAATTGTTATCCTGAATGATTATTAAATGCGACAACTGGAAATGAATAAAGAATTAATTATTTGTGTATGAAAGAATTAAGAGTAAAATAAGAGAGAAGTTTTGAATTATTCTATCAACTTATTAGATAGATAGATAGATAGATAGATAGATAGATAGATAGATGTAGATAGTGATGGAAAGATAGATAGATATACTTTATTGATCCCAAGCTGGGAAATTGCAGTTAAACACCAAAAAAACACAAAAAAAACAATGAAGTAAAGAGAACAACCTAGACATATCAAAAAAGCAATATAAAATGCAATATAAAAAATTTATAAAAATGTATAAATAGTGTAAAGGAAAAATATAAAGCTTTATATTTAGTTTCAGATTCAATTTTAATTATTTAAATGTTTTAAATTTAATTTAGGTTTGTTTTGTTTTAGTTTTAGTAATTGATGTATTCAGTTATGTCTGATATGGGTTAGATACATTGTATTTTATTTCCTTTTTTTATTGGTTTATTTTTTGTATTTACGCTCTCACTTCTATCTTTGATTGAAAAAAATGTTTAAAAAAAAACCTGAATACGTTTATCTGAACTGGAGATCTTCAAAATAACCATTAAATGCACAAAGTAGCATCTGTAGTTCCACCTCAGCCCTCTCCCAAACTTCTGAAGTTAAAACGGCCATCTATTTACGCCTTCAGCAAAAATATTAAAAAGTGTCCTTCGCTTCTGCAGGCAGCTTGTAAACATAATCCAAACTTCTTTTGATTGTACTCATGAGTCAAAGAGGCAAATATTTACCTCATTATTTTCAGTATCATTTATTTTTTTTAATTTATTGTTGACCCTGTAATTGTATCTAAATGTTAGGCTTGTTGTGTTAGTCTGGTAGCCATAGAAACATAGTATTGTTTCGTTTATGCTGCAAAAGAGTGAAACACCATCACAGTTTTGAATATTTCACACTCCTGATTTAAGTACCTCATGAAAACGTGGTGCCATGTTGCTTTTTCTGGCTCCTGTTCAGCTGTTGACGTTGAATGTACAGCATGTGTGCAATCAAGGAAACGATTGATTGAACCCATTATGCTCTGATTAGCCCACTGGCCACTCTCTCCCTCCTGTCTGAGTGAGTCTATTCTGAGACAGGAGACAATAAAGGAGCCCTGTCTCCTCCCTCCCTCTGTCTATCCGACCTTCCATTCTTTTCCCTTTCTTTCTCACCCTTCTCTACTTTTTCTTCCACTTCCATCCCTCAACCAAACCCCTCTCTTCCAATCAGTACGGTCTTTATTTTTTTATTTGTTTTTTTATAGACCGTATAGGACGATGAGCGTTGGTACCCTCACACCTGTGGCTGCGGCAGATATATCCTGTTTGGAAAAGGCCTCACCGAACACCCTAATCCATCCACCCCTTTGCCTACCCCTCTCCCCCCCCCTCTCCCCTCACTAAACCCCCCCCCTTTGCTCTACCAAACCAGGAAGTGTGCACAGGAAACAGCTGTCCCCCACGTCCGCCCGCTTGCTCCTGGCCAGGTGCATCCTGGGAACGGAGCAATGTGTGACCGTCGACATGTGGCTGACACTGTACGAGGTGCCGTTACAGTAATCGGGATCAACATGAACTTTATACAGCGAGGAGATAAAAATAAAGCTCTTTGCTATCTCTTCAAATCTTATTTCTGAAGTTATTTCTTTGGGACTGAATCTACAGTGTTTGGGCATTAAGGTAACAAGGCAGTAACGAGGATGAACTGAATAATTTAGGTTTGATCTGCTTCATGAAGCGGATACACTTGTCTCACCAATCTCCTGAATTCAAAGGGGAACTCCACCGATTTCACACATCAGACTAGGTTTAGAGTCTGTTTACAGGTGTTGGGGGGGTTACTGCTGCCTATGTGAAAAAGTTGTACAAAACCTTTTATGGCTTTAGAGAGAGCCGTGGGAAGGGATGTCACTTGAGTCGGATGGGTCTGAAGTTTGTAAATGAAAATAATCTGGGGGTGTGAACATAGAAAGAAGTGAGTTTACCAGCTCGCTCATGATCTCTGCTTAACACACCCTAAACTCTGACTGAACTGTCAGCGGGTCGAGTTGCACTGTGGGTAATGTAAGCTCAGGTTCTGTAATTGTAATAAAGACAATATCTCTGGTTCTACAATGATTGTGATCTGTTTTATTTAGTGCAATACTAAATCATCATCTTCATTTACAAGACTCCATGCTACAAGCATTTAAATAAATAAATAAATATGTTTGCTGATGTGTGTCCAACACCCGCTGACTCTTGGTGAGGTGGATCAGGTCTGTGTCATGTTAATGGAAGTGGGTCAGTGGATCTGATTGTGGGCTGGCAGTGTACACCCATCCTCGTGTTTTGTCCTAAATTTCAACATAAACTGAAACTCTTCGTGTTGTCATTTTCTGTAGTTGGATGGCCGGTCTCCAGGACAATCAGGAAAAATAAACAGAGTCGACATCTGTCGCAGGAGAGGAGGAGAGAGAGCGTCTGTCCCGGCCAGCGCTCGCAGCATTGTTTGTCACTTTCTCCATGAAATGCACTACGAATATTGCCTCAAACAATTAGGTTCCAGTGATGCCTATCGCCCAGCACACAATAGTGTTTACATGGCGTGGAGGAAACGTGGCCATGGAGCCCGCTTTGGGGAGTGTGCGTGTGTGTGTTTTCATATGTGTGTGTGTATCCTCACTATATGTTTTTTATGACTCTAAGCGTACACTATTCTGTGAGTATGAAAAATGTTGGTGTACCATCAGAGTATTGTTTTGAAAAATCATTTTACTCTCCAGTTCTCATAATCTTCAAAGTGAAAATGTTACTTTTACAAATGAAAAGTGGAATTCATAAAGAATGAAATGCAGACTTGCTCAAATCAACACTATTATGGGTTTTACCATGCTGCGTTATTTGTTCTGGTATGACCAGTAGCTTAGCATTAGTAGAATTTGCTATGGCTGTGCATATTGATGCAGCAGCTTCTTCAAACTTGCTACATTTTAATCTATAGATTTCTTTCTGCTTTATTGCCGAAACATCATTAAAGGATGTCTGATTGGGTTTGATTTTTAAGGGCTAAGCCAAAATGTGTGTACCAGGAGATTTTGACTATGGCAACAGATGCACTTTCATATGCTGCAACTGGTATCTCCTTCAAACTTCTGTTTTAGTTTTAATCTGGCGTAGTAAAAAATAGCGAGATTATATTTATATTTATATATTATATAGATTATATTTTTATTTATATTTATGTTCTGACAAAACATCAACCTATCACAGAAACACTGCAGCACTGTGGTACAAAATATAAATTCTTATGACGTTTCAGTATTTTTTTGTGCCCTGACATTTTTACAACAGTTAATGTTAAGTTAGCCAGCCTGTGGCGGACCGCGGTAGCTCACTGGGTAGAGCTTGTGTCATGGGTGAGTCCTTACTGCAGACTGAGGCAAATTGTAATTTGTGATTTTGGGCTATATATATCAAATTTGACCTGACTTGACTTATGGATCAGTGTAAGACAGGAGTTCCCTGGAGAAACAACACAGGAGGACACTAAGAGACAACATGAAATACGGTACGAGCAGGCTTTTGTATCTGTTATTTTCAGTTTGGTTCCTGGACTTCAATTTAACAGCTGTTTTTTCTTTAGCCCATGAAGAAGCCACAAGGTTTTCATTTTCTACTCATCACCCACACATGCTTACTGATCCAGCAAGAAGATCAATGTTGTTTCTGCAGGTGCACACATACACACACACACGCAAAGTGAGATAACCTTTACATTTATCTTTATTCTTATTCTCAAGAGTATTTAACAAATAGCCTGACCCTGACTCTTATGGGGCCTCCCACACACACACACACACACACACACACACACACACACACACACACACACACACACACACACACACACACACACACTTCACTCATGCACAAAGGCATCAATACTCCGTTTATTGAGCTGGGTATTTTGAGGTAGCAAGGAGGAGGGCGTGACACCTCGGCTCTGAGATTAAAACAATCCTCTCTTGATTTCTTCCTCACTCAAGGGAAAAGCGGAAGCCGTCTGTTATCGTTTGTTTCTATTATTATTCCTCATTTACAGTTTGGGTGTTCACACAAGGCCTCAAATGAGAGAGTCAATGATTTGTCTTCTTTCCTCTTCTGGTGGAGCTGCCCAGAAAGATGGGGGAAACACAAAATGTACACTTGATTCGTTGTCTGCTGCTTTTGTGTACGGTGCAGGGGAAGGTGTGGAGCTAGACGGCGTTTGCAAATAAAACTGCAGGTATAAACCCTTCAGGTTTCAGGGCTTGGTTTCTGGTTTTGATTCAGTTTCGGATTCTACTGTGCATTTATAAAAAAAACAATCTTTACCCCACATTGATGGAAACCTTTTTTTTCAGCACATACTCAGCTATCAATCAGACTTAAAATTGTTTCAATTTAACAAACTATAATTCTGCCAAGAACCTAAACACATGTTAAAATGTACTATATTTGATGATATTAAGTTTTTATTTCAACTATGCCATTGTAAATTGTTGAATAAAATAGATCTTCTGTTTTAAAAACTATAATACAATTGAAGGGAATGAAGAAAATCCTAACATTCTGACTTTCTTTCTCCCTCTCTCTATATATATATATATATATATATATATATATATATATATATACATATATAGGTACAACAAAGTATATGAAATGATATGAACAAAATTAACCAAAACTGTACTGACAATACAATTCATTTATATTACGTTTAACAGGAACATATAAAGCACAGGAAAAATGAATACCTTAAGGATTTCTATCTGTCCCTTGTGTAGCTTTTTATATTACAGGCAAATTCATGCAGGCACAGTGGTGCCATTGCAACGTTATTCTGGCTCACAGAGTGTGATCAACTGGAACCGCAGCTGCCGGACGCAAAACAGTGTGACAGACCAGTGGATGACACTGTCTGCACTCTGATTGTACTTCGACTATTGTTATTTCAGTACATTCAGACCTCGGGGCAGTTATTCTCATAATGATGATGATGATTATGATGGTATTGATGACTACAATGAAAGAAACAACAATGATGCGTTGGATGAGAGGATGATAAAGGTGATGACAGATTTGTTGAGCAGTTGCTCAGCAAACTGCTTTCTTTCCCAGGACCTTGAAGGTCACGTAACTGTAAAGCCTTTATAATGTTTGTGTTTCAGTCTGTCTAAGAAGGAAATGACTGACGGAATGTAAAAGAGGCGTTGACCCTGAGGTTGAGAGAGAGAGAAACTTTGGGAAGGAGGGAACAGGAACGGGTGAGCACAGAGGAGAAGGGGTGAGAGATAGATTTAGGAAGGAAGTTTGGGAGGTCTTGGAGAGGAAAGTTACCAAGATGACGACTTGCGTGTCATCAGTGACACAGGTGTGCTCTGATGTCATAAAACCCGAAACTGAATAGAGATCTTTATGTTGAGATTGTGCTGTTTCACATATATAGTGGAGATTAGAGCAGCAACTACAATTATATTGTTTTTTTTTTTTTAATGATTAATCTACCGATTAGATCTTCATTAGGGGAGAAATTTCTTGTCTAGCTTTTAAAACGTTGGAAAATGGTGAAATAGTGCCCATTGTAGTTCCCCAGAGCTCAATATGACATATTCAAATTCCTTGTTTTATACAGCCAACAAAACCTAAATATATTTTGTTTATCTAATACTACTACTACTAATAATAATAATAATAATAATAACAGATATCAAATCTGAAAGCTGAAAACAAGACATTTTGACATTTTTGCTTGAAATATTCAAGTTCATGATTATTTTTTTTGTTGATCAACTAATTGATTAATGAACTGTTATTGTAACTAAAATAAGAAAGGGAACTTTAATAAAAGAAAAGATCAGTGCAGGAACCCACAGTTGTCCCTCTTCTCTCCTTTGTTTTTAAATCTCTGCTCACCTCCTTTATTGCATCAATTTGTCTTAAATGCAGAATAAAATAACAGATGTGTGTTTTTTATAATGATATATCTATATATATATATTATATGTAGCATACATCTTATAAAGGAGTCATTGCTTATCATCAAAATGTGAAAATTACCTTTAATAGCGGACATGTTATGATAGATAAAGATTTCATGTAATTCCCCATCTACGTACGACTCTATGTGTGTAAGCGTGTGCATGTGTGTACAGTACACCTTTGTCTGTTCATTATATTGTGATATAAGTGCAGTTGCAGATATTTTCTTGGAAGTAGTCCAGGTCCCTTCAAAGTCTGGGACTGACCAGTCTGCTGTGATGTGTGTGCGTACATGCATGTAGGGGTGAACCTGCTTGTGTGTGTATGTGAGTTCTGAAAAGTGTGTGTGTGCGTGTGTGTGTGTGTGTGTGTGTGTGTGTGTGTGTGTGTGTGTGTGTGTGTGTGTGTGTGTAGGTATTGGTGGTGGAGGGGGAGGAGGGGTGGTGGAGGTTCCTTATCTACAGGCCACAGGCAGCTTTTGAGGCTCTTATCAGCAGCCACCATATTGTACTAGCACATCCTCTTGTCCAGCAGGGAGCGGAAAACTCTCCTTGCAACATGGTTCCCTCTCTCTCTCTCTCTCTCTCTCTCTCTCTCTCTCTCTCCCCCTTCTCTCTCGCTCTCTCCCACCTCACATTTGCCAGTACCAGAGCTCTCCGACTGGCAACCAACTGGAGCATTGTGTCTTCTTGGCGAAGAGAGTGAAAGAAGGAAGGGATAGACAGGACGGTGAAAGAGAGAGAGACCGAGGTGAGAGAAGTGAGAGAGGTGAGAGTGACATATGGACAGAGACCCACACCATCCATTTCCACGCTTTGAGTGTGTCTTTGTTTTAAAGGAGCAACTTCACAACAAAAATCAAATATGTGCGTTTGGACTGACTTTTGGTCTCATTCTGACTTAATCTCTTGGTGAATATTTGGGACTTTTGTTTTTAGAGGTTCACATGGGTATGATATGGTGTTTTAAGTGGTGTCAGACAGTTTGGCTCCAATTCTAACCTCAGAGAATGACAGGCTGCAGTAGAGTGTGAGCGACCTGAGGAGGAGGAGGAGGAGGAGGAGGAGGAGGAGGAGGAGGAGGACATTTAACACTGAGGAGATACACCATGTGCGTTCACAGATCGCTTGATCTCTGACGGATTTTGCATGACAGACAGCCGAGCCTCACTGGATGTCATAATGTATCTGTGAGTACTTATTTAATATGTTTTAATTTATTTTATGCAGCCTGTAGTTCATGAGTGGTTTGCAGCTTCTAATATTTATTTTTAAAAATAATAATATAATTGTTAATAATAACAAGAAAATGATGTGCCATATGTCTTATACAGTGTGTACTTTTGGCAAATAATCTAGTTTCTGTTTGGTTATTTGGTGGTAAATAGATAATCATGTAAGATGGTTAGTTGAGTGGCCATTTACTGTATTAACTAGTTATATTTGTTTTGTTACAGTCTACTGGTTATGATAGATATACAATATATTGTGGATTTGACTTAAACAATAATTAAACCAATAAAATACAAACAGTAATAACAGACATATATAAAGTCAATTGCAGTGAAATATGTATTTGAATAAAGAATATTTATAAATGTGTCAAAATATATGGTTAGTCATAGTGGCTTCCTGGCAACCACAGCAAAATGAATTATTGAAAAATTAATTGTTATTATATAACAAAACTAACCATATAGTACTGAGTATTTTACACTGAAACCCAAATTATTAAACATTCGTCTGTAACTCTATTTCTGTGTGGCTTCCCTAAGAGTTCTTACCAAAATATAACAGTAAATATAACACACAAAAAAAGCGCCTAAAAAAACTACCTGCTAGCATCGTCCGTACATCATTGTGAAAGACGGAACTGTCCAAAATAAAGTCATGACCACTAGAAAAGACAAAACAGGAACAATTGCGATTGCAAAACCTGAGAAATCATAAGAGTGTTACCCCTTGCAGAGCGGAGTAAAAACAAACTGAAGAAGAGTACAACGTTGAATTCACTTGATATCCAGCATTTCAACATCCTGTCAGGGGTGTAGTAAGAGATGAATCTGTAAATTTCCATGAATTGAAGTCAGATTTTAAACTGTGGACCAGCTTTCACTGAGGAAACCACCAACAACTACTCATTACATTTTAATACAGGCTCTTGTGCTGCTGCTGCAAATTTTGACCTTTTCATATCTTATTCCTTTTACTAAATATACACCAAATATATACCCTGGGTGCATTTTTTCCATTTTCTTTTGTTCAACAGACTCTTTGATATCAATCCAATCTTCAGCGGTCCAGGACGTTTTGAATGCTTAAAAGGATTTTGACTCACATCCTCAACACACACACAGACATACAAATAGACAGACAGATTCATTAAGAACAGCCACTGCAGACTTGTTCAAAAAAAAAAAAAAAAAAAAAGAATCTGATGCTCAGGATGTACTGTAAGAAAAATCCACACCAAATCAGACCGCAACAACCACATCAGCTCCACGCTGCACACAGAGATGATACCACAGAGATAGTCGTCCATTAAAGACTGCAACATACGGACATGAAAACACTGGTTTCACTGGCCCCTCCTTTACCGTTGTAGTAGGGGAATGAATACAGTCTCACGTTTACTCACAGTGTAGATACAGCCAGCAGATGACAGAAGACTCACATCCTGACTCTGGAGAGGATAAGAGCAACTGAGGAATTTCAGGTTTCCAGGGTTGAATCTACATTTTTAGAGAGGTAGCAAAGTATTGTAGCTATAATCTGAAGGAAAGCAAAGTCGCCTATATGGAAAAGACTCATATTCTTAGTAAGGAGAGGTTTAAAGGGCTCTTCAGGACAAGCTGCAGATGGTACACATGAACATGTTAGTTACTCTCGCACACATATAAAGACCACTTGGACAAGACACACTGACGCACTTCCAGGCAGGGCAGCTGAGAGGAACAGAAGCTTGGCACTGACGCAAATTCCCCCAGAGGACTTCACCAATATGATGGAGAAGCTGAACCCCACCGGCACACCTGCATCTCCCCCCAACCTACCTCGCTCCTCCTCCTCGTCCTCCGCCTCCTCCCCATCCTGTGCCTCTGTAGAGCAGCACAGTCCCCTCCAGGACAAGACATCCTCGGACACTGTCAGCAGCCCGCATCCTGCTAACAAGACAGGGCACAAGGGACACACAGATGTCCCCGCTGCTGGCTCGATTCGGTCCCCCATTGCCACGGAGACGGCGTTAACCAGTCACCACGCAAATATAGATACAGCTGCTGCACCTGAGCCCATTGTCATGGAGACTGAAGAAGAGGAGGAGGAGGAGGAGGAGGAGGAGGAGGAGGAGGTGGAGAGGCGAGGAGGACCAACAACCACAACAGCTCCTGCTGCTTCTGCCAACGGGTCCCCAACTCTTTCCTCTCCACCTCCGCTCCTCCCGGCACCAGCCAAAACATCTCCATGCCTACTACCACCTCCAACCTCCACCACATCTTTCCCTTCATCCTCGTCATCCTCTTCTCTCCCTCCACACATTCCAGTCATCAGCCTCGGTCACAGCAAACCCCCTCTCCCGCTCACCAATACCCCTTTGACTGCCCTTCACCCAATTCCCAACCTCCTACATGGTCCCCATGGGGACCCACGCCGCAGTCAGCTGACCTGCTTGCCTGTGGCCAGCCCTGGAGCTTCTGGATCTTCTGTAGGTTCTGGGGGGCCTTCAGCTCCCTCCCCAGGACCCCTGTTGTCTCAGCAGTACCTGTCTGCACACCCCTTCTTCACCAGGTGAGATCTGGCATGCAAGCACTGTGGCTCACAACCTTTTTGCCTTATGACCTCTTAGAATTGACACCCCATCAGTGAATAGTGAGCAGAGTGATTTTCCTGCCTTGACCTCTTAAAATTGATTTTCCTTTCTTAGATGGTTTCATTTGAATAATGTTTGCAGGGGCCTATGTACGTGAAACTACCCATTTCGCAATAAAAAAAACAGTGGTGAGTGAGTGGTGAAAAGTGGAATATCTTTTTCATTCCTCATTCACATAGGCCTCATTTATAAAACAGATCTTAAGTATGACTTACGCATAAAATCACGTATAAGTAATTATTTATAAAAGCTTACTTTGATGTGGAAATGAACAACTCAGTTAAACTTTAAATCTAAGAACATTTTCTTAAAAGAGGACCCTGGTATGCAAACAGATGAGGAACTCTAAACTATAAAATACCACAATACATTTTCCAGAGATGTTACTAGTTATGATGATGCCGCTTCGTTGGTAACTATGGCAAGTTTCTGTTTCATAGGAAACCTCAACTGCTGGGATTTCATGACTTCCCATTTGATTAATAGCAGCTACGCTGCACGGTTATGTGTACATGACAGCAGGATGTGTGCTGTTATAAAGAGACCTCACATTTCTCACGCTAAATTTACTCTTAAAAACGTTTGGCTACCAAACATGAGTTGCATCATGAAATTGCTTTTCTGTGCATTTAGTACTTATACCTGAAAATATCAATATTGAAACTCTACGTCTTTTTTTAATTGCAGCTAAATTTAGACAGACAAAAGGGGACAAAACAGAACTCTTAAAGCTCTTTTTGGGCTCTTAGAGTTGGCAACTCAGAGCTTACACTCATGAAGAAAGGCATTCATTTGCAGACGTTATCAAAGCCCTCCTACTGTTCATCTATTCTCTACTCCAAAAAGGATTTTCCACACAGTTTCTTTCTGTAACACAAGAGCACCAGCTATGTAAAAAGCAGAACTTTTTTCACAGTAACTACATCTATGGTTTCACCATCTGTCATGGAGGTCTGGGAATCAGGTTCCCTCCTCCCTTCTCTTGGGTCTGTTTGTTGCAGGAAGCATTGATCTATTTCACCCCCCTTGAGGTAGAATCAGCTAGTAACCAGACTTAATGAGACTGGGCTAAAACTCTGCATGCACACTCAATCAATGCCACCAATGTAATCACACTGCCGTTAATGGCTCCCACCATCACCTTGATTCTCTATCCACTCTCCAAGATTTCTTTTTATTTCAGAGATGAGGGGCTGGAACGACTTAACACGTTTGTAGACGTAAAATGCGTTTATATTCATATGCATTTCATTTTCTAGGTATATTAAGAATGCAGTGTCAAAAATGTCACATTTTCACACATGTTGCTGTGTTTTTATCTCTAGTTCTTACCTGGGTCCCTCAGGAGGAAACTATGGTGTCATCAACAACAACCGGATCAAGAGAAGACCCTCGTCACACTTTGAGATGGAGATCAGCGAATGTGAGTATCTATGTGACCAAATAAAGAATCTGACGTCAGTATTGATATGACAATGTGAATCTTTGCCTGTTTGAAATTGTATTGATGGATTTCTGACCACAGCATGCAGAATGAAGATTAATATGATTAATAAATATTCAAATAAAGTTGACGACATTCTGTATTTTTGTTAATTCAATTCAATTCAATTTTATTTGTATAGCGCCAATTCATAACAGAAGTTATCTCAGGACACTTTTCAAATAGAGCAGGTCTAGACCGAACTCTTTAAAACATTAATTTCAGAGACCCAACAGTACCACCATGAGCAAGCACTTGGCGACAAGGGCAAGGAAAAACTGCCTGTTAAAAGGCAGAAACCTAACGTTATTGTCAACAAGTCCTATGAAAAAACCCTTACAATGTGTTAGTCATTCTCTTAATACTTTCCTACATCATTACCCTGTCTGTGGCTTTCAGCCCAAAGTTAAATGGTAAATGGACTATTTATAGTTTTTGGTCTACCGACCACTTTAAAACACCTGTCACAGTCACACACACACACACATTCAGAGACTCCTACCAGGCTCCATGTAAGGTGTCAACCTGCTCATCAGGAGAGAAACAGCACTTCCTTTCACAACGATATTAAACTCACACATACACACACACTCACAGCACAGCCATCGGGGAACCATTTGGGGCTCAGTATCATGACCAAGGACATTTCTACTGAACCGGGGGAGCTGGGAATCGAACCAGCAACCCTCCAATTACCAATTACTCAACCACATGAGCCTCAGCCGCCTTACTTTTTCAAAACATGGTTCATAAATACATTTTAGATTAATTTATAAGGGTACATAATTCCCTAAAACAGCTGGGCACTGTAGTTTTTATCAAATGTTACACAGGAGTAAAAAGTGTATTTGTTGGGGGACTATTCCAGTGGTGGTTTAATACACATTTGGTGCTGTACTGAGTATTCACAGCAGCAGGATGGTTGATGTGGAACTGATTCAAAATAAATTAAAGTGCAGATTCATTAATGAATGAACAGTGTCCAAGTTTAATATTTGTTATTAGAGGAATACGCTATATCAAGCTACACAATACTTGTTAGTAGGATCATTGCATTGGCCTTTTGGTCTTTTTAATGAGATTTGTTGGCAATAAGAATATATCAACTTCTTATATCCTTTGAGACCCTGTACACTTACAGTGTTTCTGTGTCTCTAACAGGCCCTCCTCAGAAAATTGCTCGCCGTGTCTTCACCAACAGCCGTGAGCGATGGCGACAGCAGAACGTGAATGGGGCTTTCTCTGAGTTGCGAAAACTCATTCCCACACACCCACCTGACAAGAAGCTCAGCAAGAATGAAATCCTGCGTCTGGCTGTGAAGTACATCAACTTCTTGGTCACTCTGCTCAACGATCAGGCACAGGATGAGAGCAGAGACTCCGCTGAGGATGAGGCTGAGGACCAAAGCATCACAGTTGGTTTGGACAGTAACAAACTGAACCCTCTTTTTCAGCAGTGCGACACTCCTCCACCGTCACAAGCCACCCCACCATCCTCAGCCCGTCCCGCCTTGGCGACAGTCCACAGAGACAGAGACTCCACTGACTCAGTCGTTGCTCTGGCCTCCCCAGCATCGTCCAGTTGCTACGGTGACACGGACAGTGAGGAAAGCTTTGGGGCTAAGACCTCTTTGGTGACCCAGGGCATTCTGGGAAAGGTCAAGGGTCAGATAAGGATGGTGGCGGCCACAAATGATGAGCGGTGACACCAAAAGACAGCAAACAGCAAACAAAGAGGAGTTTAAATGTCACACTGACGGACAGAGAAGGACACACAATCATCGCCAGATACCAAAAGTAGTGTGAATAAGTAAGGGATGGATTTTTCAGGACATTTTGTAGTCTGTGTGTGTGTTTTTCAATGATGTGCAAACACTGAGTGTGAAGATCTTTGTTTTAGGAATATGCTGAACTGTGCTCTGGGGCAAGTTGAGAGGCATGAAACATCAGAGCATTCAAATACTCATACATGTTTTATATCCAAACAAGGTCAAAATGTTCCTTTATTGAACATTACACCTCAATATCAAACAATATGGATCCATAACATGGATGAATTATGCAAAACGGGATCTTGGAAATCTAATTAAATCGCCTCATGCTGGAATTATGTGGAAACGAAATGTTGATTTCTTTGTGTTAATAACAAAAATCTAATTATCCTTTCTCAGTCAAGACATTTCAAGATCTTGAATTCCCCCTCTGTAGACGCATAAAAATGTTATATCTCTCACAAGAGGGTTAAAAACCTGATTTCTTTTGTTCGGGTCCAAATGCAACCTCAGAAATTTACATGTAAATAAGCAGCATTGCCCCAGTTCAATTATGGTGCCAGCAGAGAAGTGCATGACATGCATTAATGAATTGAAGTTGCAACTTTAATGTTCCTGCGGTTCTCGTTGTCAGGCTCGATGGTCTCACCCTGACATTGTGACACACTTGTACCAGACAGAAATAAAGTGTGTTTTAGTTTGCTGTTCCTTATTTGACATCCTCTTATTGCGTTCCAAAGACTGCCCTTTGTCAGCACGATTTCTCAACACATCCAAAAGTTTTGCCGTGCTTGTCAAATGTTTAGGGAACATTTGTGAATCCTGAAAGTGTTCAGTTAAGAGTAATCTCAGTTGATCATAACAACTATCAGATGTTAACTGTATAAATGCAGTGGTGTTGGGTTTGGGTTGAAGAACCAACTGAGATGTAAATGCTTAATTTAAAATGTAGATAAATAATGTCATAAATTATGCTCATAGATCAACACAACAAACTTCAACCACCAATTTTTAAAATAGTTAGTGATGTGATAAATGTAACACTGACACTACTGTGATAATCCCAGGCATAGAAAAAGGAAAAAAATAATTTAACAGACACAAGTCTAAAAATAATTGTTGTTGAAGTGTTGGAGTTTTCCCGAGCAGTGTGTTGTACATATATTGCAAATGTTTTCAGTGGTGGAAGAAGTACTCTTCACTCTTCTATTTTTAATACCATTGTGTAAAAATACTAGAAGTAAAAAGTCTAGCATCCTGCAACAGTTGGCAGTAAAGTATTTAAGTTCTCAGTGGATTCTAATTAGTGATGCATTACTGTGTAAGCATCACTAATGTAGCAGCTGGTAAAGGCTAATCTCAACTATTTATATACTGCCAGATAGCTGAAACTATAATAATGCATCATAACTTATTAGCTGATTTATTATTTGTATTAATATCCTGAAAGTAATTATTGTTGTGAAATAAATGTAGAGGAGTAAAAACCATAATATTGGCTTTCAAAATTTGGTAGAGTTCAAAGTAGAATAAAAATGGAAATAGTCAAGTTCAAGTACTTCAAAATATTGTACTTATGTACTGTACTTGAGTAAATGTACTTACAGTACATGTAGTCACATTCCACCACTGTATGTTTTTGATGTGTTTGTGCATATTGTATGTGTGTGTGTGTGTGTGTGTGTGTGTGTGTGTGTGTGTGTGTGTGTGTGTGTGTGTGTGTGTGCATGCAAGCAAGCAATTAAGTGGATGTGCAACCAGCAGAAGATTTATGTAATAGCAACAATTGTAGGTGTGCGGTTGTGTGTGAGGAGGGTCAGGGTGGATGTGGGATGCGGTTAGAGATGGGGCTCAGCGCGGTGGTGGGGTTGTATAAGTGACAAGTTTGGGGGTAGCCTGAGGTAAGTTGCAGCTGTGCAGTGGTGCTGGTGTCTCTCTGCCTGCCTGCTTGTCTCTATCAAGTGGCCAGGAAACGCTACAGTTAGTGCTGTCTCATTGACGGCCAACGAGTTTCCTGGAGGAGGGGTGTTGGCTGTGCATGTGTGTATGTGTGTGCGTTTGATGGGTGTTTGGACATGTGGGGTGGCAACCGCTACATGGGAGAAAGGGAGAGGGGGAAAACTAAAAAAGAAAATAGCCACCAGGATGCTCTGGGAACCCCTTACACACCCGGTTTCGGGACCACACAACAGGAAGAGCTGCTTTCACAATACTACTAGGGCTGCCTCTGCCCGCTCTGCTGTGCCAGGCCGTTCTGTCCCCTCCCTGCTTCACTATGAAACCACAGACTGTGGCAGGGGTCACATAAATTGAAGGGATACCACAGTATTCTGCAATTGCACACACCAAAGTTTATGCCAGTTGCAACACAAGTGATTTGCTGTGTTGTTGAGTAATTTACCAATAAATGATTTGTAGATATCATTCCAGCACACTCTTACAGAAGGCCTACTTGTGTCATGGTGCGATGATGCATTAGACTATAAACCAACAGACCTTTCTCACAGCACACATTTGATTGTCATAGCAGGAAAAGCACATTAAAACAACTGCACTCCCTTTAGGTGAGCCCTAACTTGTTTCACCTGCGCTTTTCCTGCTATGAAAAGTTATGCAAAACTGCCGCGAAAAAGGTCTAAAGATGTGTTCAAATTGACATTTTTGCCTTGCGTTATTTAAAAATTTGACAGCTGGGCATTTGTGCAGTTTGTATTTATTCATCACAAACAACAGCTAATTTACTGGATATAGGCTACAGGTACTAGCACCAGCTAGCTAGCAACACATGTGAGTGAAGCATGAACCCGGGTATGTTACATCTTAAAACCTACCAGGAACTCCGGCCTTACTTATTTACTTCTTCATATTTGTGGCCCTTTATATATACAGTGATGAACTGGTCAATCTTTAACACTGATAAATAACATTAATGATGGCATAATTATGAAATCACATGTACTAACAATGTGTTGCTAATGCATAGATGATACACAGTTTTTCTTTTCTAACTAAATAATTGATAGTTAAAATCCAAAATTATGATCTAACATGCATTTGTAATTTCTTCAATTACTTGATGAATACATGATAAAGTAATGAAGAAGTCATGCTCAGTTAATCGTGATTATGAGTCTTGAATTCAACAGAATACACATGCACTTACTAATAAAGAAGACATAAACACCTTCAATAACTCAGAAATCATTGTGATTGAAATACCTTAGTAGTAGCATTAATGTATTGTTCTAGCATTAAGTCATGCATGAGATACTGTTTATTCTTTTACATTCCTGATTGTTTGTGAAGTATTACATAAATTAATGCTAAATTAATTCATGCATGAATCCATGATAATTCATGTAGCCTTACCATCAACCTAAAATTTGCTCTATGTTCTGCTCACAGCTTTAAACTTACCAGCTTTATTTGTTTAAAATCACCCAACTTTTAAGCTGATATTAATTCTTAGCTATCAATTCAAAAATATTAGGAACTCCTTGTTGTTCACAGTCCCCCTTTATCACATTATCTCTTTTCCATCTGAAATCCACTGCCTGAATTCACCTGCTCAGCCTGTTCAGGGGTAAGGGCAAGCTGTTCTAATGTGCACGTGTGTTTTCATAGATCTGAAGGACTTCATATTAAATATTGCAATAACTAATATAGGTCAAAAAAGTGAAACCTTATAACTGCTGGGATGTTAATCTTCTCTCCTTCGTCTGATACAGGAGGCCAAGCAGGGTGATGTTGGCCAGCCTGGGACTCAAAGATAATGTCCCTGCCACCACCCCTCCGTTGTGCCCCTCTTGAGTCACACCCACTTGCACACAGAAATACCAGTAGCTTTATTTCATGCACAGACTAATCCTTTAGCTTAGCTTGCAGCTTTTTAATGCAGAGATTTAGCAAGTTGCGAGGTTTAATGAATGCAGAAACAAAGTCAGTGTAGAACGGTGAAATAGTGAAAAAATATTTAAGAGGACATGAAAAAACTATCCATCACACAGTATTTGTGTCAAAATATGTGTTTAGACTTTTTCATACATTATGTCCTGTGTTAAATTTAAAACAACAGACAAAGATGCAATAGTTCTGTGAATGTTTTCTTAATTAAGTGCTGAGGAAGATTACAGTATTAGCAGGAGATAAGTGCTAACATGCTAAATGCTTGCTTACGAAATTATGTTTAAATTCAACTTGAAATCACTGCTTACAACAACAACAACAACAACAACAACAACAACAACAACAGGTGGACAGGAAATAGGTTGAATATTTGACAAAAACAAAAGTAACATTTTTATTTTCTTACGGAATTTGACGTCTTGCAAACAGAACAGCACCTAAATACTTTCCCTAACAACTACATTTTAGTATATAAATTTAGTTCATTTTGTCAAACATATTAATACCCGTCCTCATTCATTAACTGCCAGAGTGCAAATAATGGAATAATATTGAAGTTGGGAATCATCTCAAAGCATTTGTTTTTTAAAATAGTTAATCCAATTTGTTTATAAAAAAGTATTTTGAAATGAACCCTTTCACTCTGTTTGAATAAAAAGAGAGAAACATAGAAAGGCTCTTAGAACACGTCTGAATTATACATTGTGATTGTACTAATTCTAGACAAATAAATGTTTTTACAGTTGTTATACATTTTATATACATTCAGCCATTCATTCAGTTTTCAATACTTTCTCTCCTTGTTTCACCACGGAGTCTATTCTGTCATTCACTGTTCTCTCCACATTTTTTGCAGCTTCTTCTGTCTTTTCTAACGTGTTTCTGTTGCTGAATTTTCGTCTGCCGACCTCAGATACCGCAGATCCAGCAGCTGCCCCGACAGCTCCGCCAATGACGCCCCCCAAAAACACGCCAAGCACCAGACCCAGCAACGCGCCCCCTATGACTACCTTGGGCACCTGTTTCGCAGTAGTCGCAATTTTCTCCCACACTGAGCTGTCAGCCACCATTTTAACTCCTGCTTTGGCGCCAGAGCCCACCTTCCCCCACATTGGACTCTGTGCCACCTTCTTTGCACCGGCACCAATTCCAGCTCCAACTCGTAGTGAGCCGCCAGCCACCAGTTTAGCTCCAGTTTTGGCCCCGGATCCTACTTTTCCCCACATAGGACTCTGCGCCAAATTCTTTGCCCCAGCTCCAATCCCAGCTCCGACACGTTTGGAACTGCCTGCCATTATTTTGGCCCCTGAACCGACTTTTCCCCACATGGGACTTGCCGCTGCTGCCTTTGCTCCAGATCCCACCCATGTAGAACCATCCACCACTACCTTGGGAACCTTATCTCCTACTAGTTTGGACACATGTCCAGCACTAGCTCCCACCTTCCCCCACACTGAACTATCAACCACCATCTTCTGGACATTTTGTGTTCCACTGCCGATTGTCCCCCAAACTGGACTACTTTTCATCTTCTTTGCTCCCTCACTGATCCACACAGAGCTATCTGCCAACAGCTTGGGTAAATTCTTTGCACTATACTCCATTTTCTCCTTAATGGAGCAGAGAAGCGAAGGGGACATGGTGGAAAGCGTAACAGGAGGAAGGCTCTCGATATTCATGGTTTTGACACTCATCTCTGCCTCATCCCTTGTTTTCTCAATCTCATCCTCTCTCACTTCCTCTTCTGCCTCAGCCACAGGCTGCATGTAGGGATAAAGCATCCGCCTTTCAGGGTTGAGTTTTCTAACGTCTCCTTGTCTTTCTTCCTCTAGTTTTTTTCCCTTTCTTTCCCTTGCTATCTCTACTTGTTTCTGCCTCACTTTGTTTTCTGCCTCTTGAAAAGCAGGACAAGAATAACACTGCCCTTCAGCCTCCTTTACTGTCTGCTCCACCTTCTCTAGCAGCTCTGCCACATTCCTCCTCTCCCTCCAATCTCGTCCCTTCTCCATCACATGAAACCTGTCCCGGCATTTCTCTACAAGCTTTAGCAAATCCCCCCGCTGTCCAGCAATGTACGCCTCCACGCTGTCATTTCCAGCCTTCCCGCTCTCCCTCAGTCGATCTGCATAAGTAAAGAGGACCAGAGTGTGTCTTTGGACCGCCTCTGGGCCAAAAACTGACTCGAGGGCCCTGAGAGCCTGCAGCTCTGTCTTTGCAGGCTGGTCTAAGGGGACGCACATCAGGAAAGCATGAGGACCTGGACTGGACAAAGCCACACAGGAGGAGATCTGAGCTCGCACCTCATCTGGAGTTTGCTCTGAATTGAACCAGTCTGGGGTATCCACTACCGCCACCTGCAGGTGAAAAGGAGACACATGCAGCATAAAGAGTTGATTCATGGGAAATCAGCCAGATTGTATTGTTTCATGACACAAAACAAGAAGAGTGTGTCAAAGATTAGACATTTGGTGGTTTTGGCAACGGCACAAGGTGGAATGTGCGAAAGGAAAATGAAACCATGCGAGATCTAAATAACTTACCCGTCTTCCTTCAACCAGAGTTTTCTTTTTCTCACACTCCTGAGTGATTGCTGTGAGGCTTTCCGGGCGTGACTTGAACTCCTCCCGCCCAAGTATGGTGTTTCCAGCTGCGCTCTTGCCCGCTCCAGATCGCCCGAGCAGCACCAGACGCAGCTCCGGAGAGGCTGAGGAGGACGAGGATGAGGAGGGCGAGGAGGATGGGGGGAGTGAGGAAGCATAGGAGGGAGAGGAAGTGAAGGTCGGCGAGGAGGGGGTAGAGGAGGAGAAGACAGGCGAATGAGGAGCGGAGGTCGGAGATGCACCAGGGGATATTTCTCCAGAGCTGTTGATTCTGTGGTGAACTGAAAAGAATCAGGTGATATTTGGAGTTCAATACGGAAAATGAAACATGACAAATATTTTTAAACCTCATATAAGTGAACTTTTAAGCAACACAATATGAGTCAGTAAGGTCCTGTGACTTACAAGTAGTGATTACTTTTGGAGATGTTTTTTCCTCAGACATTTGTGAGAGTATAGCTCCATCTACAGAGGTAAAACAGTAAACATGAGTCCTGTTCATTTTCTGCTCACATTCCTTTTTCTTCTTTTTTTTTACATTGGGATGCAGGACATTAGGTGCAAAATATCTACTGGCATTTACCTGCATTTAGTCTGAAACTGGGCGTCCTCTTCACCTGCCTGTCATCTGTAAAAGACTGTCGCTCTGGCACTGGAGATGAATGAAGCCCGTTAGACACCTGGCTCACACCCACTCTTCCCTCCATCACATCACTTCTCCTCCTCTCCAAGGCGGCGCTGTACTCCTCTACTCTATCAATACTCCTCTGTGTTTCTGTGTTAGTGATGTGCGTTGAAGCGGCCGTCTCTCTTCTCTCTTCCTTTTGAGCTCTGTAACTTTCCATAAGTTCTCGCTTTCTGTCTTTCACTCGCTTCTCCAGCTCTCTCTCCTGGGCTGTTTTCATATAGTATACCCCATTCTTCTTCACTATATCGTCCACCTGTTACATACACACATTTACAAATACAGTGTCACATGTTATGCAGTTAATCTCCATCAGTCAAAGTTATAATGTAATTAGCCCAGTCATTAATACTCAAACTGGTCCTGACTAGGGCTGGGTGTTATTTGTGTGAGTGTGAAACAGGGCGTTGCTGGGAAAATCTACAACAGGCATGCTCAGCAAGAGACTAGACTAAACAATTAAAACAAAGAGGTGCAACACATGCAGTATATAAAACACAATGTCTGACAAAATCATGACATCCACACTACACCAATTTCTGTGTTTTCTTTTAAGTATACACCAAAACTGACTATATTGTGATATAAACACTGTAGTCAGTAAGAAACCTGAGAAGTTGTTAGCAACACACATTGCAGAATGTGTGAGAAAAGCTCTGTCTAATAGTTTCTGTTAACTGTTCTCTGAGACGACTTCTCACCTTTTCCAGCAGTTCGTGGACCTGTTCCCTGTCCTGTCTTTGACGATTATTGATTACATGGTACCTTCCTCCACACAGCTCGATTATCTGCCTCAGGCCTGGGTGTTCTTTCTGCAGGTATTCCTGTGGGAAAACAATTTAAAATTTGCAAAGGGTTGCCTCTTAAAATTGGATACAGTGAATCTTGAGAAAATACTGCAAGCAGTTTACATAAAAGTGTTTGAAAGTAGTTTACAAAACCTAACCTACAAAGTCATTATTTTATTTCTGTATCAGTGTGTCACATGACTTGCCATGGTTTAAAAATGAAATACAGAAGCTAAATTTGAATTGCATCCTCATCAAAATCACTGGTTAAAGAAATGGGGACTTAAGTATTGTACTTCTTGTACTCTACTTGTTTGAAGAGTGTTTGGTACCAAAGTGTATACAAGACTTTAAAAAACACAAAAAATGAAGAGGACTTGAAATGTACATCTCAGCACAGAGTGTACAACTGTAATACCTCTACTTCTCTTCCCATCAAGTAGTCCCCACAGGTCAGCAGTACCAGGGTGTGATCCAGCACCTCCTTTCCAAAGACCTCCTCCAGTTCTGCAGGCACACGACCCTCCATCTGGGAACACCAGGGAAAGATAAAGAGAAAAATTCATTATTATCAACTGTTATGTATTATAAAGGCACAGTGAAAACACATGGACTGATACTGTATATTTATTAGGAAACAAAGAAATGACTCAAATACACGTCTGGAAGTGCAATCAAGGACTATAACCAACCTCTGTGAACTGGCTAACAGGCACCAGCAGCAAAACAGCATGTGGGCCCGGTGCTACTAGCGTCATTGCCCGCTCTGTCTCCTTCTTGACACTGTCTTCCATCTTGCCGCCGCTCCAGTACCATCTCGGCGCCTCCACCAGGGTCACACTCCTGCCATCAGAGATCCCCTGTCGCAGTTGGCAGTTCCTGGAGGCACTGGGAGAGATGGGGGACAGCTGGCCCAAGATAGTGTCTGCTGATGATGTCTTACCACATCCAATGTTTCCCAAAAGAATGAGTCTGAGCTCTGGGGAGGAGGACTCATAGTAGCTCCCTCTCAAGTGTTCACTCATAGCTTGAAAGAAAGGAAGAGGAACGGGTCAAATGTGATGTCTGGATGTAAGTCAGTACCAAAAATGACTAGAAGCTACACCAACCAAATGTGTTAACCAAAGGTTTGTCCATAGACTTTTAGAAGATGAAACCGCATGCAAATAAAACTGGAAAAACTGAGGATTGGACATGTTGGGGAGGAGTTTAATAATCTGATCAGACATCTGTGTAAGTCCAGGATGACATCTAATGATAAACATGAAAGTTGTGATAACTTTTTATGTCTGCATGGTTGTAATTCTTTCTTCCATGCTCACTGCTTCCTCTCACCTGTTGTGCATGAGTTACCAAGCACTAAGATAATTGATAATGGCTGTGCTCTAACTTGTAGCTTTCATTTCACACCTTTTGTAACTGCATCCCTTTCCTGGTACGCCACACCTTGCCAGTCCTGCCAAACTACATTCTACCTGGATTTTTATATTTAGACTGATACGCAAACATGAACAAAACGCATCCAACGACAATAAAAAAAAGGACAGAACATACGGCATTACAAGTTCACAATGACACCACACAACAGACACAACAGATATTTCATAACGACCGCACACATTTAGCACTAAGGTGAGAATCAAACTAGTATAATTAGACCACAGACACCAGTTGTTTTGCCCAATCAAAGCTCAGGTAACACTGATGACTCTTTTCTCAGACCTACTCACAGTTAGTATAAAAGCATTATGGTGCACATTACACATACAGATAAATTCCTTGCAACAAAAAAGTAAAATGTCCAAGAAACTTTATATCATCACTAATAATTTACGGTTTACAGTGCCTCAGTTACTCTCCAATTTTAATATTCAGATAACTAGTACTTAGAACGGCTTAATTTAGTAAGCAGCTGTATGATTCAAACAATAAGAAACATACTTACTCAGCTGTTTGACGTCTCTGAAGTTTTGTTCATGTACTGTCTTCTTTGACACTGAATTATGTCTCTCACCCAGACAGCTTCAGTACATGTCGACTACTAAAAGCTGCCAGGGCAGGTGAGGTTCACAGTTTGCAACCCGTCTGTCTCACCACTCCCAATTTTGCACATGCACACATGAACACACTTGTTCATATGTTTTTGCGTGCACAACAGGTTGTTCTTTGTCTGCAGGCTGCAAAGCATTCCAAGATGGGGCGGAGGAGGAGTATCCCGCGGCACATATGAATCATTCTACATTGGTTTTATCGAACACACCCATGAAGTGTCAAAACTCATGGATGGCTGTCAAATAACATCCACAACCAGCTTCAGGTTTTAGTCTTTAAGTTTAATAACTAGCTAAATATGCCTGTAAATATTTTGATGTGCTACGGTTGTCGTCCATAATCATCGCTATGAAAGAATGAGGTGTTGAATTTATTGATTTCTTAGAGCAATTATAAACAGCCAATAGACCTCAATATAAAACAGTCTAACAATAACATTTAATAAGGAATGACTTGAGTGATTTTTATTGGAATTTATAAAAGTGAAATTTATTTAATTGGTAGTGTGTTGCAATATTGCAGGTTTATTATTATTCCATAAACTGTGAGCAACTTTGGAATGAAATACATGAGCTAACTGGATGATGTCATCAAGCTGCCAACTATGCACTTTACACAATGAGTTTCTGTAGAAATGAAATAGTGACTCTCCTCTGTGACTCCTACTCATATCAGAATCAGAATCAGAAATACTTTAATAATCCCAGGGGGAAATTATTTTCGTTACAAATGGAGTCAAACTGATCATCAGTGACACAGAGATAGTTATTCCTTCAAATGAACTATGCAAATATGCAATTTTATTTTATTTTTGAATATAAGTACAAGAACATGTAAGAGTACTGTACCGTAGTAAATCTACTGTATGTGATTCCTGATCAACACCACTGTGACATAGAAAAAGATTTTAATTGAAACTTTGAATGCGTCCAGTGACACAGACGGAAGCTATCTGGTCGGTAAATAAAAATACATAATTCAATCTTCATTCATATCTTTTAACTAAACAACCAAAAACAATTGACATATTAAAATAAACTTAAATAAGCAAAAATAAAGTTATAGTTCAAAAAAATATTCTTCCAGAACAAAATAAACATTATTCGTATTTTCCAAGTGTAAACTAACCTATAGTGTCTTTCAGCATATTAGAATGTGCTGTGTACTGCTAGAGGGGTCTTCGTCATTAGTCACAACCCGGGCATCACATAGGCAATGTTCTCCAGAGTGGAGGCCTTAAAAAAATAAGATAAAAACAATGATTTCCTCCTTAATACATGACATACTGGCAGAACAATCAGTTCACTCATGTGCATGCCTGTGCGTATAAACAGAGTAAAGTATGCCGTGTGAATGCACCTCTCACCAGTGTGTGTTGTGTGCAGCTCCTCAGCTCTGGTATCACTTCAGTGAGGGAGATTAGAGGAGCCAGGGCACAGAGCAGAGAGTCCAAGAGCAGAGACGAGCTACTCGACAGACTCACCACTTTCTGCAGAGACACAAAGAAATGTAATTATTATCCCTTAATGCAGTGAATAAGCTTCATGCTCTTTAGAGGCTAAATTAAACTTGGCCTTCTTGATCCTGTGGTCAGATGTAGTGATGTAGAATCACATGTCTGTGACAAAACTGGAGCCAACAAACCAGTCAAGTGTTCTGAGTGGTAGGATTGCAATATTTCACAGCTTTTAAGATGTCCATGACTTCCTCTCGACTTTCTGTCTTCTTATGTGTAGTATTATACAAGATTTGGCCCCACTGGCAACAATTGTTGCCAAAGTGTATCACTGTCATTTTCGACTCACAATAAAAAATCTCAAAGGTACTAATGCAACTTTTTCCACTTATATGCTAGTAGACAACTTAGACAAAGGTTTTGATTTTTAAAAAGTCGTTTCCAAGTGCTTCCTATCGCATGACATCATCTGCTTCCTGCTCCTTCCGGCTGAAGACATGGCTGTTGCAAATCGTCCTGGAAAGAGGTAATTTTCATAAATTTCTTATGATTTTCCCCCCAAACATATTTATAATTATTTAATCATTCAAGTCTCTAGAGTAACCCTCCCCCCAAAAATTGTACCTAGGATAAATATTTTTTGTTCATGGGCTTATTTCTGTGAGTGGCAACAAAAGTTGCCAGTGGGCACATAGCGTGTCGCTAACTAAACGAAAACACATTCTGCAGGATTGCTCCTAATTTGCTTATTTAAAATTGTAGAATGATGTACAATGGCTCATTTTAGTCCTCTTAGAATACTCTTCCTAGCTAAATAAATTCACAGGTATTCAAGGCCTGTGTGATGATTCATCAATAGCATCATATGCAAACATAAACATGGCACATTCATGCATCTATCATGCTTGCTTTGTCATTCATTTAGGTCCTGGAAAAGCGGGCAGAAGGATCTCCTCTCCTTCCAGAGGCTGGTAGCCCTGACCCTCCTTCTACGCCATGGAACAAAGCCAAGTAGGCAGGGCAGAAGGTCTTCAATGGCGGTGGCGATAACTGATGCCACCAGGTTTGATAGTTTGAACCACTGGCCCTGCAACACTGGTAGCAGGTACAAGCGATGCAAGAACTGTGGCGGACGCACATCATTTGCGTGTGGAAAGTGTGATGTGCCACTACATGTGGAGTGCTTCAAGAAGTACCACACTGAGTAGAACATGCATGAAAGATGATGGAATGTATGGGAAGAAATATGTTATATATATATATATATATATATATATATGTTTTTAGAGGTTCTAAGAAAAAACTGTTTGTTGAGGTTTTGAGTATAAAAAAATTGAGAATAAAGAAACCAGTTCAAATTGTTTGTTGTTTTGAATTTTATACAGGGGGAACCTGAGGCTCCACCTTTTTGTTATTATTTAATATGACTTTATTATTATTTTGTTATTACTATCTTATTATTATTATTTCTCTATTATTATTAGGTGACATTTGACCTAGTGACAAGCTGTGTGACTACTGGCAACAATTGTTGCCAGTCATAAAAATGCTATTTTCTTCAAAACAAAGTACAAAATGGAAAAAATAAATACATAATATGATTCAGAGGGACTCAACTGATAAAATGATATGCCTTACAACTCTGAAAAAAATCTGGGCACAAATGGGTTAAAATTAATAAAAAACAATTCATGTCTGTGGTTAGCTAATTTTTCACCCAAAGCATACATGTGAAAAAAGATTTAACACTTTCTTTGGGTTTTGCACATATATGTTTAACTACATGTAACGACATTCTCCTAAATTCATCAAATTATAAAAACCTGAGCCACAAAATTCAATATAAAAAGGTCATCTGAAACAGTTCACACTATAAATGTATGTTATTTTATTTTGTCACATGGCTTTTGTTTATATTGTATGTCCTTTGAAGTAATGCAAAAATCTTGTAAAACAGCTTTGAATATATTTTGCAACTCTAGTATCACACAAAAAATCATCACAAAATATTGTGCCATAGTACATTATTGTTGTTATTTCAACCAAATCATACTCATACAATATCTTTGCACCCCAAAATTATTGGGCTTTTCTAGTGGTAATTTAGTGTGGTTAATCATGGATTACTGGTAAAGTGAGCTGTTTTCAGTAATCTCCATTTACTGTATTACTCTCACAGCTGCAATAATTTGCTCGACCACTGTGCGGTCAACAGAAAAAGAAGAAGAAGAAGGTATGGGTTCATGAAGCAACACTTAATTAGGGTTCAAATCATGAAATATCCATTAATGAAGAAATAGCCATTGCAGACCAGTATTCATTTCAAGTAAAACCCTGGCTTTGAGAAAATTATGCATTTTCTACACTGAATCTACTCACATTTGTCTCCTGAAGATGGTGTCCAATCAGGGACAAGGATTCCCCCAACAGATGTAGGTGAGCTGCAGCACTGACAGGATCCAGGTCACAGCAGCCAGGACTCCTGTATGTGGATCTGAGAGTGTCCCAGGCTGAATCAGAGGGACTGCACATAGAACTAATGGGACTACAGGTGTGAGTCATGGGGCTATATATCATGGGATCAACAACATCACGCATAGCAGAAGCTGTCACTGAACTTGGAACAGGGATGAACGGACAAGGCCTGTGGGTTACTGGAGTGGCAGGAGGGGTGATAGTTGTGGTAACAGGGCCATCTGCTGTGTTGTGCTGGTTATCTAAATACACCCAGTGCTCCAACATGGAGCTTGGACTCACCTGGGAGAAACAGACAGGTAGGGAAATGATGAAGAGTAGTAAGTGGAAGTAGATATAAACATTGAAAAACTTACAGGATAATCACCAAATCAATGCTGCCCTCTGCTGTGCAACATGAACGCAACAACTTGTTTTGGATGTCCTGGAAGAGAAAGTTTACATATTAGTCATAAGAATTGAAGGGATGAAATTACAAGAGTTTGTGTTGTCATTGTTTATTTAGTATTATTTTTCTTATGATATTAGGACCCAGACAAACTTAACGTGACTGAGTCAAATTTAAATTAATCCAATGTTGTTTATTTTCCCATGTCACCTGTTCTCTCTCGTCTTCTCCTCCCTTTATTCCCCATCTGTCTTGTGGCACACAGACTGGATAAGCAGGAAGGAAGCCAGAGGACTCCACTTCACATAGTTCATGCTCAGCTCCACTATTACCTGCAATATGTCATTTATTCATATTAAACAATAGGTGATTATCCCATTAACCATCTCTCCATCTTATTAACTAAACTGAATTCTCAGATGCAAAAATGTTCCACTGTTTAATTTTGAACCAGTTCTCAGCCTCCTTCCCTAATATTTGTACAGTATTTGTTTTCGTTTAGGATTTCTTGGTCAAAGGAAAACACTGCTAAGCTTCCCTGCATGGCGCTAATGTTATCATAACATAGGATATGAGTGTCAAAAACATGGTATTCCTGAAAGCCCATGTTGCACTGAAATATTTTTGTACATATTGGGTGATGCAAGTTTCCAGCAGTGTAGGCCATGAGTGCGATGTCATAGTTTTGCATTGCAAAACTGTCAGAAAAACATGTCAGCATCAATAAAAGTAATTATTAATTAAAGGAGGCACACATTTCCCATCGAGCGGACAATTTAACACCACATGCACAGTAAACCCACAGACCAATTAAAGACACCTTACCAGAATGACACATTTTCTTGCTGAGCAACAATTTTGTTTCCTGAAACAAAAAAAGGTGAATAACAAGCTTTAACAAAAGGGGCTAGGAACTGAATAACAACATCCAAAAATAACAATGAGTGAAACAGTAATGATAACCGTTTAACCTAATAAGAAGACATGCACCTAATGTCAGGGATCAATATTCAATCAATCATATGCTGTATTGATATACTGCATTACAAAAGCTGTCTGTATAACAGAGTTTCATAGAGAAATGGATCAGTGTGTACCAAACTGCATAGACTGAGTCCATTAATTTACACACACAGCTAAAAACTAGCAAACGGCTGACACAGTAGAACAGTCCAGAGTTCAATGGTACACCTCTGACATTGCAACAGAACATAGTACAGTACTGATACCGATGCCAGTGTATCAACAACATATGCCAAGCAACTACATCAGGATCTGTCACGTCCCTAATCACAACTGTCAATACTCTGCTGCAGATGAAAGATCATTTGAAAAAGAAAAAAGTCAAAAACATGCAGAGCAGTCTCAGGGTCCACCTTATAAAGCCTTTTGGTGCTACAGTCCTCCAACTCCACATCCATCATGGAGGGCCTTTCCCTCTCTATCGGGCTGAGTCCACTCACTGCTTTACCATCAATCTACACAGCCAGGGACAATAATAAGGTAGGAGCTCCAGTTGTGATTGAAAAGTAAAGCAACACAAATGCTAAGGAGATTTCACTATAAATGTACTTTACTTCACCTATAAAATGTACAATCCCTGGCCTTATTTTAATTGAGACACACAAACGCAAACTAATCTGTATATACATATATTTAACATATGCTCTGGCAATGTAAACGCCTGTTTAAATAAAGGCCAATAAAGCCCTTTTGAATTGAATTAATTACTAAATGTATTCTGTTAATTCAAAATGTGCAAGTTAGAAGTAAACCTTTATTTTCAAGTGAGCTGCAGGGCTGAGAGGAAGTAGCTAACAGGTGCTAAACTAGCTGTGTGCTTGGTACCAGGGAGGTCTTGCAACAATAAAGCTACCTAACTACATAAGAGTAGGGCTTTAATGTTGCTTAAAGAGTTGAGACTCTAAATGTGAGGCTTTCCTACTGCTGAGTCCGTTTTTTTTTGTTTTTTTTAATCTAAAACGGATAAGGCAGCGTTGAGGACATGATGTAACAGTTAATTAATTACTTTGTCGCCATGTTACAAGTTCAAAGTCTGCCGTCGATGTTCTGCCTGAAACTTGGTTTAAAAACTTACGTTACTTTAACAAAACTTGTGTAGCACATATCCGGTTTGGTCGCCTGAACAACGAGCAAACAACTTCAAATAAAACCTTAAATTCCGACCATGTTTTTCGCAAATAGCTTCACCTGAATTCACTCTCAATGTCGGTCACGGGTCTGAACCGAGTGAAGGAAAAAAGCTGCTGACTCACGTTTAGCGCTCCCCTTGTCTCCCTCCCTCCATGGCTGTCTGTCTGCTGAGTCATGATAGGCAGGAGGGAGTGAGAGCATCGGATTTACGTCTAGCTGTTGTGTCTTTCTGCAGCTGCATGACCAGATTAGTTCTGTCAAACATTTATCACATAAAATGATCCTCCTGATTTTGTAGTTTTATGCTGAAAATGTTTAACTGTTTTTACTACAGTGAGACTTGAGTAGACTTTTTTTTTATTTGACATTTCTTTATCAGTTAGGCTAATACAGAAAATAATCTGTATTTTAAAATTTTTACTTTTACTTAATGGGATTAATTATGGTATGTAGACACTCCATATACAGTTGTGTACTTTTTGATATGGGGCTGTTTGTTAAATGTTAATGCTACAGCATCCAGTTATATTTTAGTCAAGCTTCAACGCTTCAACGCTTCAATGGCCTTCACAATCTGTGAGATCCATAAATAACCAGTTTGATTTTGGTGTGAATGAACTTGACTGGCCTACACAGAGCTGATCTTAAGTTCACTCCATCCAGCATCTTTAGGGTGAGCGTCGACTGTGATCCTCATCGCCCAACATCATTGCCAGACCTCTATGGGAGCAAATCCCTGCAGCCAGATTCAAAATCTCACAGAAAGCTTTCCCATAAGAATGAAAGCAGCAATATTAATGACCATGTTTTTAGGATGAGATGTTCAATCAATATACTTTTGGCCATGCAGTGTCCTTTCAGCAGTATTAGAGCAGTACTTTGTATCACTTACACAATTACAAATACAACATGTCACAGTCACTTGTGGGTGTAATCATCCAACTGGACAAGTATGGTGCAACTTTATAGCCATTAAAAAAATAAGTCTCACCTTGTTGATGTATTTATAAAAAGAACAGATTGCACAGATTTGTTTTTAAATTTAAGTAAGTAAGTAAGTTGTTGGCTTAAATTCTCATCAATAACAAAATATTTTTTTTAGCTCAGGGTTTATGATCATTTTAAAATAATTATGTATAAAATCATATGAAGCAGCATGTTTCACCATATATTTTAATTTAATTGTAGCAGCCTCCAGTGCCTGTATCTGCTCTACATTCTCAGCTTTATTAGCTCTGGTTCAACTGAAACCCTTTTTCCATGTGAACCATCATGGACTTATATAGTGAATAAGCTTAGTAACATGGTCGAACTTGTTCATGTTTCTGATTAACTTCTGGTGTATTGTGGTGACACAATCATGTGATTGTTTCTTCTATACCATTAGTCACTGTTTCAACACTTCCTCCCACTCCGGCTTCAGAAACTCACACAGTCATGTTTAGAGTCAGCTCCTCCTCTCCCCTGGCTCAACTTTGGAATTCCTTAACTGCACTGTCATGTTTAGCACTCAGCCCTCCTCCTTCTGGTTTTCCAGGGCAGTACTAAAACTTCCTTACTCATGCTAAGTCCTATAGTCCCTCCCTCAGAACTTTTCCAAGTGGCTCTCATAGTTGCTGTATCATGTTAACTCTCAGTCCCTCCTACCACTTTTTGCTGAAGTTGCCATATCATGTTTAGCTGTGGTTTTGTGACTCATACTAGTTCCTGTTTTCATTCAGCTGCTGGAGGGAGGAGACAGAGAAAGGATTGTATAAAAGGGCAGAAGAGTGAAAGCACACAGAGCACAAACTGTGCAGGACATCCAGAGGAAAAACAGTGAATCTTTGTGAATATAGACCAAACCACCACATCTACAGAACTTCATCCTAACTGGTGAGTAAAACATAATATTCACATTGCTTTTTTTGTCATACTTTGAATTTCACAACCCCTTTCTGGCATCTTATACCTCTTGGATCCTTATACAGTTAGTGATCATGCTGGAAGATGGTTTATGTCCTGCAAAGGCACATTTCTGACATTTTTAAAACTTTTTTTCAGGGAAACAATGGAGACAGAAAAGAGGACTCAGACAACAGCAGAGCAGATTACTGACAGGTAAGAATTAGCAACTGATTTATGCCATCTCTAAATCCTTTCTTCCTAACTCATTCATCTTGTGCATTGCAATACTCATCCATGAAATGCTCCAAAAAGTATCTTAGAAAACACGAGTTTGGATGATTATAACTGCATTAATGCAGAAGCATCCAAAAGTAGATTTCTAGTGCAGTGTGCTGATTTAATGTCTGTGCTTGCAAAGTTTTATCAGCTGCATGTTGTCTAAACTGTAATCTATAGGTGCATGAAATTCACACAGTGTACTCACACAATGTGTCTTCTGTACTTTTGTTCTTTATGTTTATTTAGTGGCCGTCTCTGTTACCCTTCGCTCTTTTGGCTGTGGTCAGAAAGTACCTGTTTTTATAATATATGTTATTTTCTTTATGCAGGGATCTGTCAGAACAAATCAAAAAGGTGACAAAGGAGAGTCATGTCAGGGCAGAAAACACAGAGCTGATGCTGAGCTTCCAGAGGGGACAAGTCACCCTGCAACAGTATAAGGTACAGCCAAATATCTTTTAAATCTATTTCTATCAGATAATCTCACTTGTTTTTTTTAATACCTTTTTGTCTGACAACACCTCTCCTCTTCTTCTTCAGCTCCTCCTGTCCTCGCTGTATGAGATCTACCAGGTTTTGGAGGAAGAGCTGGACAGGAACTCCAACCACCCTGGCGTTGCACCCATTTACTTCCCGGCTGAACTGGCCAGGCTGGAGGCCATTGAGAAAGACCTGGAATACTTCTATGGCCAGGACTGGAGAGAGAGGATTGTTGTCCCTGCAGCTACTAAAAGATACTGCCACAGACTCAGACAAGTATGTTTCGTTATATGTAGAGTTATAGTTCTCTGTTTCTCCGCTGTTTGATCCTGAAATAACACTCTTTATCTGTTTTTTTCATAGATTGGCGCAGAAAACCCTGAATTTCTAGTTGCCCATGCTTACACCCGGTACCTGGGTGACCTGTCTGGAGGTCAAGTCCTGGGTCGGATCGCCCAAAAGTCCATGGGGCTGAAGAGCAGTGATGGTCTGTCATTCTTTGCCTTCCCTGGTGTGTCCAGCCCCAACCTGTTCAAACAGCTGTATCGCAGCCGGATGAACAGCGTGGAGCTGACGGAGGAGGAGAGGAACGGCGTGCTGGAGGAGGCTGTCAGAGCCTTTGAGTTTAATATTCAGGTACGGAGCGATGATGGCTGGGCAGAGAGAAAGCTTAGAACAGAAATGTCACTTTGACATAGCTGAGCTTACAAGATTCACCTTTTCTCTTGATGAATCCAAGCTGATGGACATTCTTCTCTTTGTTTTTCAGGTCTTTGATGATTTACAGAAGATGCTGAATGTCACTGAAATACAGAATTGTTCAACACTCTCCAAACCAGTGAAGATGCCCCAGATCCCCGGAAACATGACCAAAACTACCCCTCTGCTTCGGATGGTCCTAGGACTTTTTGTGGCTCTGGCCACAGTCAGTATGGGAATCTATGCTTTTTAGAGAAAACACACAGCGAGAAATACTCTGTATTTGCTGTTAAGGTGTTAAGGTCTTTGCTTTTGTACTGTAAGATTATTAAAAGGCTTTTAACGATTTGTAAATTACAAAATAATGTGTAAAATATTTGTAATTTAACTGAGAACCACATTTATAATATATATTCAGGAAAGCTGAGGGTATTGATTTTTGAATATCACGATGTTCTAAGACTGTCATCCAGTGTGCGTTAAAATGTGCAATATGTGCGCTGTTAATATTGTAAATATTACCTTTTTAATAAAATGTTTTGTTGAAACAAAGTATTCTTTCTCTTGCAAGTTTTTGAAATACTTAATAGTCAGCACTCCTCATGTATGCCATTTTCTTGTAATGGGTATGTCACTGCTGATGTTCAGGGTCCAGGTAGTAGACACTGGCATCCTGACATCAGATCATGTGCCTGCCGCTCATCTGGCCCAGTCTTACAATGGTTCCTGGTAAAACAATGGGAAAGATTCCCAGTTCATACAATTGCACAATTAATGTACACAATTGCCTTCTCGTCATCTGGTTAGTACTTTCTGAAACTGACCTCTGCAATTACTGAAAAGGGAACTCAACTACTACAAAATATACACGACTGCTCTATAATCTCCGTCCATTTTGCACATTTACCACTGTACAGTTAGTTGTCATAAATAAGTTGTTAGGAAGCAGCTGGAGTCACTGAACGGTGTTCCAGCTGTTGTGTAATTGACCGATACAAGAAAGCGAGGAATTATGATTTAGCCAAATAAAAAGACAGCATGCTTTTTTGCCAGAGTGACCTCTGGCTTCAACACTTAATAAAAAGACAACACATCATACTTGTGTAAAATTTGGTATCCACTTTTTTATTGTGGTTTCATGACTTTCCTAAAACCTGTGCACCGGTGGCACAAATTATAAATTAAAACACAAAATGACTGTTTACAGCAGCCAGAGCAAATGTCTGGCTCCAGCCTCGGCCTATTTCATAGTGACACAACTCAGTTCAGTGCTGGTATCTGTCTCCCCCTAGAGGACAACTAAAAGAAAATCGAAAGTCATGTCAGAAATGATTGTACTTCACAGGAATTGGCTTACCTCAAACTTAAAAGGCACAAAAGCCTGAGTAAATCAGAAATGTCCTCTTATTGTCACCTACAATGTTCATATCTTTAAATGCTGAAACAATGCTTTACATTCAAGATACATTCCTTTCTACTGCTGCTTGTTCATTGTGCAGTCAGTATCAGATACTACACATCTAATACCAAAAAACGTAAAAGCATTTTGTTTGACCAGACCCAGGAGCTCTGGAAATTCATCACTTGTTGTAAGAAGGCCATCGACACGAAACAAAACCCCAACAGCTCCGAACTAGCAAAAGAGAGGAGCTACAACACATTTACAACTGACAGGGTTAATTCACAAAGTTACTTCAACATGCCAATCTCTACTCACCATCCCCTCAAAACAAACAAACAAACAAACAAAAACATCACACGCATACACACTTATCAAAACTCACAATCATCTATTAAATCTACAAGCTACACAGTGCCGGATGAGGGGTATCCCAAGGTGCTTTGAGGGAGGGGATTGCACAGCATATCTTGTCTTTGTAAATGTCACTGCTGGTAAACAATGAAAAGGACACACAGAAGAGGACAACACAAAAGTGAGAGCTCCAGGCAAAGCAAAGAAGGAGATCCACATTCACAAAAGAAGCTTCAAAAGAAAAACTACAGTACATACAAAGAGACCCAAGTCAAGTCACATAGCGCTGAAGACATGAACGGTCGTGGGAACTCATAACATCTCTTTTTCTTTGCGTCTTTTTTTCCTCTCAAAACCTTTTTCCTGTGTGTTTGATGATTGCATATCAGTAGAAAGGCCTATGTTTTTGTGACATTCAAGGCCATGGGTTCATGAGAAAAACACAGTAAGTTAAGTTCACTTCATGTTTTCACCGGATTTTCTGACAAACAATGATGCTCACTTGACCAAGACAAATGTCCTGCATTTTCTCCACTGATATAACATACTGCACATTACATCTGGGGGGAGGGGGAAGTAAATTACATTAGTGACATGCATCTAATTACCAGAAAAATCAGTCACACCAAAGTGAAATTACTTTGCAGTAATATTTTGCTACGTGAACAGCTTTCCATATTCTTCATCTAGCTTGATTTGGCACATTATCCTACTGTAAAAGGCAAAAAGTTTCCAAAGCCCAAATAGGTGCAAATCAGACCTAAGCAACGTACTATAGGGTACAATTTTCAACATCTGTCTGCACCCTAGAACAACCCCCAAACATCTGCATAATGCCACATCACCTTAGCTACCTGTTTGAACAGCTAGGACAGTTTCGACTAAAAAGGTGCAGTTACTTTTTTCTTTAGGCAGGAGCAGCCATCGCGGGGCTGCTCAGTTGGTTTCGTAAGAGGACAGCAGCGCCGCATCCACCGGCTCCATGCAGGAGGGGCAGGTGAAGGAGCGCATCAGCCAGGGGTCAATGCAATCCACGTGGTAGATGTGAAGGCAGGGCAAGAACCGAATGGGATCGCTGTACTCAAAATCCACCATGCAGATCACACACCTGGAGGGGAGACAAAGGTTCCTCAATCTGTTAGTGTGAAGATAATGTTTGTAAAATTAGGTCAGGTTACAGTTAATTACTTTCACAGATTTACACATAGACAATGATACAATACGCATCAAAGAATACAACAAAACTTCCTCAAGTGTTGTTAAATAATTTACATATGACACGCCAACCTTTTTATCCAAAGGCTCAAACTACAATTATATTTAAAGGACCAGTGTGTCGGATTTAGTGGCATTAGATTATGAGAAACGTGAAAAACGTGAAAGGCCCAATCTAGAGCCAGTGTTTGGTTTGTTTGTTCTAGGCTACTGTAGAAATATGGGGGTTCAACATAGCGGACTCCGTAGAAGAGGACTCGCTCCCCTTGTAGATAAAAACAGCTCCTTCTAAGTGAATAAAACACTTATTTTCAGGTGATTATACACTAATGAAAACATACCTATGAATATTATATTCCATTTCTACCAATAGATCCTCCTAACTGTTACACACTGGACCTTTTAATATGATACTAAATTTGCTAGATTTGCCTATTTTAGACTCACTCTTTAACTTTCTTGTCAGAGGGGTCGGAGCCCGGGTCGAACATGCCTCTGGGCAGGTGCTGGATGAGACCGATTCGCTGGGCGATGCGGACCTGCTCCTCCTCGGTCAGCTGGCAAGCCAGGCGGCTCTCACCTGGGGTGGGATGGTACACTGGCGCTGACTGGGTGCGCTCCTGGAAAAGAAGGAACAGAAGACAACCTGCTTGCGTCATCCATGGGGGGGATTTTAGATATGTTTCAGGTTTGTTCCCTTTGACTTACAGCCTGAAGCTGATACTTATGTTGATATTTGTCTAACTTATCCTGTCGTTTTGGAAAGCCATTTGGAGGACATCATACCATTCAATGCTCCGGTGCAACACCAGGAGAATGTCTTACAAGTTGTGATGCATGATATAAAACCACTGCTGTTTAGGTCTTGTTTAGCATTGTCTGGGATTTCGTATGAAATAATATTTTAGGATATAGTTTATATGATTTCTGCATTATAATTAGAGTTGCATCCAATTTGCTTTATGTACAGTTTACCAATAATATTTAATCTTAACCCCCTCCAACGTTTAGAGCTGTATGTCACATTATTAATATGGAGTTTCTGATTAAAATAACAAACAAAAGTCCAAATTAAAGTTAAATTCTTAACAAGTACCAACCTGAATGAGCAGCATTGTCTGGGGCTTGAGTTATTTAATTATTGGACATTTCTGCGACTGGTACATCAATACAGAGAGCAGTATGACAGGTACACTCCCGGATTAATAGACTTTATTGTACCGGCATATTGAAACTACTGACTGAGGTGTAATGCTCCTAAATTAAACTCGAGACCCAGCAGCTGACCTGGTAGGGCGGAGGAGGCTCCCCGGGAAGGCTGCCCCCCTCGGACTCGTTCAGCAGCGACAGGTCATCCGCACCTTGTGAAAACAGACAGTTCCCCATTGAACTGAGACCACCATGAGAGTGTCCACTTCTCTCTGAGCGTGACAAACACTTGAGCGAGCGTCAGCTGGTGCTAACCCCGATTAGCTTAACGCTTGGGTTTCACGTTAGCTTAGCTAACGCTAGCTAGCTGGTAGTTTGTGGTCATTCCGTGAAAAGGTTGACGGAAAGTAGAGAGGAGGAGCTGCTTCGCTTTCTTTCTTGGTGGAATAAAAGTCCAAAGTCTGAGTTACACAGTGGCTGATAAGACAATTGGTGACATCGATTTTAACCGTCTCAGCGAGGTAATGTGTGTGTGTGTGTGTGTGTGTGTGTGTTGGCTTGTTGTGTTTACAAAAAACACAAACCGGAATATCGTCATCACGAAGTTTGCAAAACACCAGACTTTCGATTTTTATAAAACTTTTGTGTGAACTGTACACTGTGAATTTGATTGTTAAAACACAAATTATTTGTCGTAATTTTCCTTTGGACCTGTGTTTTACCCTCACGTTGCATTTAATCTGTTTCTGTCCCACTACTCTTCTTTTTCTTCTTATTAAATATTATTATTATTATTATTATTATTATATTTATTATATTTATGTGCATTCTTTTTTGCATTTTTACATTTTCGCAGTTAAAAAAAAAAAGAGTAACATTTATAACGCTGTCGCTTTTATTCTGAAGGATCATTACCACTGTATTTAATGATGCTGGGAATGGAAATACCACAAAAGTCTGAAAATATTGAGACCAAATGTAAAAAGGTATTAATTTAATGAGGTTGGATGTGAATGGGGAGCAGATAAAGAAGCATTATTACATTAATACAGGGCTTTGATGAAATACACTTTGGACTATGATTGCAGCAGCAAAAAGTCACCTAGAGAAACTTGACAGGATGCAGTAGAGAGCATTAACACTTGGTTTGGGAGGAGTTAAACCCACATCCATTAATGCACTGTTTGTTGAATCTAATGAATTATCATTACAGTTGAGGAGAACTTACGTTATCACGTACATAATGGATTAAAATTTAAGGAAGAGGAAATAGTAATTTAGTTCAGAACCACTGGGAATAAACCTGAACTTCATCGGGTAAAGGTTTAGGATGGGACATTCATTAGAAAGTAAAACAGTACAAATTAGGCACCATACAACACAGTCCAGCAGTCATCAGTAGAAACATTTCACCTTGGATATTTCAAGTAAATTTACGAGTATTAGAGAAGAGAGTGGTCAACCAGGAATTTGAATCTGGTTCAAGAAAGTATAGTTAGAAATATATTTACAGATGGTTCAAAACACTGAAATAATGAACATGTAGGCGTGGGAACATTCCAGAGTTCAATAAGGGGATTACTAAGAGAATAAGTTATCAGTATACACAGCAGATATGACAGCGGTAATCATCAGTCTTCAGTGGGTAGAGGAGGTCGAACCAAGTTATCATATGTTCAAATTCAGCAGCCACATTACAAAGTATTCAATCAGGACAAACAGTTACAGATGATCTTCTAATGGAAATATCTATGATTTTATTGAATATACAGCAGCTCTGTATAGATGTTAATTTCTGTTGGATACCAGCTCATGTAGGAACAAAGGGAAACGAGGTTGCAGATAAACAGTTCATTAAATAAAAATGATAATGAATGGATAATAATATAATAATATGTCAGTGAACTGTGATATCTTATATATAAATATGGAATAATGACATTAAGGGTAGATACTATTATACAATCCAAAACTCTGTCTTAAAAATAGAAACAGTAAAGGAAAGAAAATGTAATTTCATCAAGGCTAAGATGAGGACATACAGGATTAAATGCTAAATTAAACATTATGAAAAAGATAGAGTCCGATCAATGTGAAACATGTAATTGTAAAGAAACTGTTGCTGATGGCTTGTAGGAAGTTCAGTATAGAAAGGAACAGACAGGGTGGTGGATGTGTGAACAGAAGGATAAACAAACTCAGATTCAAAAATCTATTGATTAAATATTTACAAGAAACGGGCCTAATAAACATTATAAACTTTATATAAACATTATAAAGTCATGATGTTACACTCTTGTACAGTAGGTGGCGGTATGCACCTTAACGTTGGTTTGTAACCCATCAGTAGACCAAAGAAGCAGAAGAAGAAAAAGAAACAGTAACAGAAACAGAAGACGAGGAAGAAAAAGGGAAAACGGATGTCATTGTTGTTGTTATCTTTAGAGAGTAATTTGCTGGTTATACAGATCTGTCTTTGCCCCGTCCTGCTGTGTTTCCGTCCACTGCTGTATCTTCATTCAGGAGAGGAGGACTGACAAATGGTAAGCAGAAGAGGCAACGCATGGTACACACATGTGCACTGTATCTCCCTACAGGATGATCTGATGCCACTTATCTAATTCTGTTCCAAAACTATGAAGTCCTCTCATTTTAATTTGATATATTTCAGTTAGTCACCTGATGTAGAAAAAAAGATTTTCACGTGAATGCAGCACAGCAATCTAGTTATGTTGGGCATCTTTGCTCACTCTCTGTAGCATCATACTTGCACAGAGAAAGAGATTGATGAGTGATGATGGCAGGTATCTTCCCTGGGACTAAAGGCAGAGTCTGCAGGTGGATGCTGGCGTGCTCTATCATTATCATCATCATTATTTTTATTATTATTATTATTATTGTTATTAGAAAGATCAGTCAGGAAAGTCACTGCCAGGCTAGAGCAGCAGGCCCATCCTGGATACAAAGTGGGACTTTCACTAATGTCAGTTTTCATACATTTAGGCCACGGCTCCTGCACCACCACCACCACCACCTCCTTCACTCTGTACAAACCTGCCCGATAAAAGCAGGTGTCCACCGTGCCCTCAACATGCTGCAATACCATTTAAAACCAGCCCTCCAGTCCAAGAGACAAGTCCTTCATCCGGGACTCTACCAGAGGTAAGTGTCTCCTTCACAATCAGGAGTTATGTTGGTGTGAGACTTCTAAAAGCTCTTACTGTGAAATCCCCCAACATCCAGGATTCACCAGCCACACAACAGCTACCAGTGGAAAATGGGCTCCAGGGTCCACCGTCAGAAGGAGAAGACAATCCCTCTGATAGTGCAGATAAAAGCGGTCCAGTGCAGGAAACTGACCCAGCGCCACAGGCACTAAATAGCCCACTGGTAAATTAAACTCTTTTTTTCTACCTTTTTTTTTTTTTTTACTTTCCATATCACATAAAACACAAGATGACTGTTAATTTTCTTTCTGTCTCAAGATGACAGAGCAGCAAGATGGAGCAGACACTCAGATGGACCAGGCTGGAGAGGACCAAATGCTCTGAAGCACTTTAGTTACTGAAAGGTCCAATGTGTAGGATTTAGTGGCATGTATCAGATGCAGATTATAAGTCACTCGCTTCACCCTCATTACAAGGGCAATGGAGAAACTCTGGTGGCTGCGAAACACGCAAAAAACAGGAAAGGCCTTACCTAGAGCCAGTGTTTGGTTTGTTTGTTCTGGGCTACTGTAGAAATATGGCGGTTCGTCATGGCGGACTCCGTAGAAGAGGACCCGCTCCCTCTGTAGATAAAACAGCTCATTCTAAGGTAATGAAAACACAACAAACAGTTCTTATATTCAGGTGATTATACACTAATGAAAACATAACTATGGATATTATATTCCGTTTCTGCCAATAGATCCTCCTAAATGTTACACACTGGTCCTTTAAAAACAAATATTTATTGGTACTTCAAAATGCTGTTCCCAGCTGCACTGAAACACATCGGAGTACAATCAAGTGAGGACATCGCTTTTTTTTCAGGCCAAAGATGTTTGATATCATTTCAGCTTTCAATCATCATCATTACTTGCAGCTGCATTTAGAGCTTTGTTTTTTTTCATACACACTCCTCCAGCCAATTACTTTAAAGTACCTTTGAGAAACTCTGAATCAAACTGAGATTAAAAATAGATATTTTAGTGACATAGCTATAAAAAATGTAAATTAACTTATTGTAAATAACCACAAAATGAATATAAAGGCTAAGTAAAAGCACTTTGAGTATATATAGTTGCCATTATTTATTATTAATTAAAGACATAGGTTTATTTGTTTTAGTTTTTTTGTTTACTTAAATGCACATTTGGACTGAATGTAGTTTTTGCCACTTTCCATAATATCTCCATGAATTAAAGTCTGCTTTGAAAACCTACACTTTCTTTGCTTCACTGCTTCAAAAAAACCTTGACAATACTTTGTTGTTAAAGCTTTAAAAATCCGTAGAATGTAAACAAAGAGTCTGACATGCTCACAGTGACAGTGATAACATGGTGATGTGTAGCAAGTATTAATGTTTACAATCTCAGTATAGTATGCTAACATTTGCATATTAGCACTTAACACAAAGTGCAGCTGAGGCTGATGGGAATGTCTGAAGTCCTAAACCAAAATCATGGTGATGGTGCTATATGAAAAGTCAGTGGATAACTAAAGTGTACTGGTTCCACTGCAGACATTTTGACATGTTATAGCTGGAGGCGAACAGGTTTATTAATGATTGCTGCATACTATTTAGGGGAGGTCCTGCTATTGTGAGTGCTGGTTCGCTGTCAATGTCTGCTGTGCAACCAGTCCCTTAATCCTCTGGGCACCATGGATATGTATACCAACTTTCATGGCAATGAAGGCCATCCAAAAGTTGACATATTTCAATTTGGACTGGCAGACTCCTACTGGGAGACACAGTCTTTTTTGCTCTTTCAATGTGAGTGGTATCAACAAAAAAGACACAGCCTCTGACTGCATTGCATGCTGATAGACTCTCCTCCTCCACCTATGGTTTTAACCCAAGTTCACAGAGAATGAAGGATGAAAGCAGCACATAGACAGCACCAATTTTCACCATGATTGGTCTACAAACAGGAACGTTTTAAGAGTTTATAGTAATGCAGCACTAGTTACATGAAGACAAGTATACTGGCATTAAGAGCTGAGTCTTTATTTAGTCACCTGTTTATGGAAAGAAAGACATGGCACAGCAAGATGGTACAGTCAAGAACATCCTTTTTATTCAATCAGGTGCTGCTCTTCTCAAACTGTGTTTTTCTTCTTATGGAAAAGAAACTGTAATTAACACATGCATTTCACCTAGAGCTCTGGGGGTGTTCTCACAAAGAAGTGGTGCTGCACTGAGGGCGTAGACAGAGGCATAGCAGAGCTGGGAGTCAGGGGGCGTAGGGTGCTGCCTATTACACCAATAACCATACACGCTTAAGAAGATAAAGAACAAAATAAACAACAGAACAAAGACACGGAGCAGTCCAGCATGAGGTGGTCAGAGGAGAAACAATGGAGGGACTTTCCTGAATCCTCAAGAAATCTGAGAGATCAGGTTCATGCTGGCTTTTTATCTATCTGGTTGGTGTGTTGTAAATGGCTAATACTGCTGAGGGTTTCACTGTGTGAAGCCCACCATGAACAATAATACTTTAAAATATTGGTTTGAATGGATGTGGGATATGTCCTGGAAATGCAACTCCCCTCTTTCAGCCTCGTGCAGGACAAGTCCGGTTATAAGGTGCTTGTAGCTTTCATTTACAGTCCAAGGCATCCTCAAAGAGAGCCTAAACGACAGCATACCCTGATAGCAAATATTCAAAGAAATCCAAATTAAAAGGAAAACAAATAAAAATGGGGGAAATAAAAAAAAGCCAAAAATAAATAGCTAAAACAAAAGAGCAAACTCATATCCTGGTCAAAGCAGCCCCTTTCCAACATCCCAAAGCAGTTTATCCAGCCCTCTCGACCCCGTTAATCTTAAACCTCTTTAACCCAAACCCCTGAACCCCTGTCATCCCTTCCTAACCCACCCAAGGACACCCCCAAAAGCCCGTCAGCGTAATTTGTTCACTTACATTAGCTGTTGAATGGAGAAGCTGAAGAAGATGGGTATGGTAATACAATGTGAAGCATACAGACAAGAATAACATGTGAGCTAACTGCATTCTGCTCAGACAAAAGTTTTTCGGCAATTTTTTTTTTCTCCCTCCCAACAGCGGAGAGGGCAGGAGAGAGAGAGAGAGAGAGAGAGAGAGAGAGAGAGAGACGGAGAGTGACGGACACACAGTTACAGACTACTCCAGTGTCTAAGAGAAAACAGACAGTGGAGACAGAGGGGAAGAAAAAAGCAAGAGCTGAACGAGAACAAGTTTTTTTGCCTTTTCAAAAAAAGTTTTTGTCATCATTTATCAATAAAAAGTAAAGAACTAATTCACACCAGTTTCCTTTTGTACTATATATATATATATATATACGGCTTTGAAAAGGAAGAGAGGATATAGGGGAGGTACAATGGAGGGGGATTCATTTCGAAGGCTGGAGGAAGTAAAAGTTGTCCCTGAGCGCTGAATGGGCGATGACCTTTTGCCTCCTCGCGGCACTCAGGGGCAACCTGCTACCTCGAGCCATTTCGAAAAAAAGGGGCGATCTGGATTACAAAATGGAGTCTGTGAACAAAAGGCACTTTTAAGGGACAACCTTTAACTGCTGGGAAACTATACACTACAGCACAAGCACTATAAGAGTCATTTACAGAGGAGGGGGTGGAACAGGGGAGAGGCTCACCTTGCTGCCTGCTTCATAAATGGTTCATACCTCATATTTTTGCCTGATTTCAAGCTACTTTTCCCCCCCTTTTTCATTTTTCTGTTATTTGTGCAGGAGACAGAAGGCCTTACCTAATACTCTTTCCATTGCATGTGGGTCTCAACACAACCTGCTGAATTTTATCCAGCTCGAGATTCAGAAACATATCAAAATGATCATGGGAATAAAAGATTTCTGGATGTGAAGCATCTCCCGCAGAACAGGGAGGAACTTGTCGTGTGTTTATGCCAATGTATGTAATAAAAATGATTTAAATTGGGAGGGTTGTTTTTTTTTGCTGGTGAGTTTCAGGCAGTGCATGGGTAACTTATCTGAAGAGTTTCTTAGGCTTGACAGTATAGGTTTTTTTTTCTTTTTTCTAAAGGTTGAACCAAAATGCCTTTTGTGTCACAACCTTAAGGAATAGGAACCTCTCCCCCCACTCAATACAAATAGAAGAAGAATAAAAATAGAGAGAGGAATAATGCTGTTTCCTAAATGGTCTGTTATTTTTGTTCATTACCATTCATTTACAATAGTTCTGAATGTACTTTATAGTGTTAAAGCACCAGTTTTCGTCTGATGATAGAGAATTCTTTTTCTCAAGTTGTGTAGAATTTTTTTTCCTTCAGCCCTCCCACATTTTTATAAACAACTGATTACACATAAAACATTAAAAAAGAGACAAAGGAAATAAAAACAAATACCCCCAACTTACAAAGACTAGGATTTTCATGGCCCTCTAGTTTAGAGTCCCGGAGCTTATGGACTTGAAACAAATACATTTTTTTTCTCTTTTCTCTTAGCTTTCTTAAAAATCTCTAACAGACAAACACAATGATCTACCCAATGCATTGCACGTGGCTCAATCGACACATATTTTTCAATAATAATACTTTCCATCAAAAAACAAACACTTTTTTTTCTTCAAACCTACTGTCGATTTTTGACATGTTCATCTAGGTATTATAATGCTGCGCTGCAGATGGCGATGGCGTGTCGTTTGATCCGCACTGGTAACAGTAAGGTGATGTTACTGAAACGGGTTGTGGGGGTGGGGTGGGGTGAGAGTTCAGAAAATAACTAGACTGCCAACAAGCTCATGTAGTAAAAGTTAAAAAGGAGCATATATCATAAATATATATGTATAAGATCTCTCTCTCTGTCTTTACAAAAAAAAGTTTGCAGTCCTCTATAAAGATCTGTCCTAGGCCAATGGTTTCCACATGCACCAACGCTACCATTCCCTGTAGCTTTAGCTTATATGTGGGAAGAGAACCTGAAGTCAAGTTTATTACTAATTGCATGAAGGGAATACAGAGGCACTTTCATATATTGTTATAGTCTTGATATATGGTTTTAGTACATAGAGCTAATGTTACTAGAGAGGCTGAGAACTGGGCCTCAGCCCTGTTTACTATCCCTGCAAAATAGAACCAACAGCTAGGCAGTCCAGTTATTTTGTGAGGTCGGCTTTTGTTGGATTGTGTCATGATGAAAATAATACCAATAGCAATTTCAATGTGAACATTTACATAGAAAAAATATCTCAAATTAAAAAGACAAATCTTAAGTGAATGAAAAACCATTAACAAAGGCAGTTTGGAGAACCAAATATATAAAGGCTTCCCTTTATTATTTTATGTCAGGTTGTTGGTGGTGTTAGTGTGCATTTTATATGTGCATCTGTGTGTGTGAGTGTGTTTGTGTGTATGTAGTCCTCTGGGGTTTCTTGTGACTGGACTAAGGGGTACAGGGTGAAGCAATGCAAGGGATGCATGTGATGAGCTGTTGTTAACTGTGCTGTCCATACGTGAGAGATTTGAGAAACTGCTGTTACTGTTTCGCTGAAGTTTGAGCGTGATACTTAACATGTTACTGCAAACTAAAGAAAAAAGTGTTATGACATGCAAGATAAGGTTAAAACAATCCAAGTGAGACAAAACCAAAACCAAATCTGGCAGGAAAAAAAAAGGAAATCGCAAGAAAACACCTACAAACAAAATGAAAGCTAAAAATATGAAGCTAATGCTGCGTGTGCATTACTGTAAATTAAATTCCATGTCTATGAATAAAAACAGGATGATATAATGAGTAGTTGTGTGACAGACTATTCTGGAGAGGATGGTCTGTAGGTGCCGTATGCAAGCGTGCGTGTGTGTGTGTGTGTGTGTGTGTGTGTGTGTGTGTGTGTGTGTGAACATGTGCATATGTGCGCTGCGTGGTTCAGGGCCTAGACTTGAATGTTAGCACAGCCACATCCCTGCAGTGGTAGCCAGCCTCGACACGCTTCTGTAATCGCTCGTCTGACCATCGATGTGCAATACTGTTCATCCCTTATTAAAAATTAATAGTGCATAGGTGAGGGGACGAACGAGCACATGTAGAGTTAGTGTTATGACTGTCTGTCGTGTGTTCACTCGCTTGCACTCGCCTCATGGCTATCACTTCTCCCACAGCAGGACGCCCTGATACTTTGACAGGTAAACAAAGACCAGCCACTTAGTGCATATACATGTCACACCATCAGATGGTGTCACCATGATTGGCCAATCAGAAATGTAAAGA